AGGGTGGCTGAACATATGACCAAACAAGTACGTGTGATGTCATCAACACCCCGACATGACATTTGAATGCAGCAATTAACTCAGAATGAGACCTCCCACCTCGCGATACTATCATAACGACATTAAGTAGATGATTCTTGTATCTACATGATATATCCTAGACACTACAATACATACATAATGTTGTATAGATACTGTAATCGAAGTCTTTGCGCAACAAAACATGAAAAATGAAAAATTGATGCGCCGGTCGTTCGATCGATTGAGAAGCATACTAAATACATCAAAGCGTGCCATATCCTTCCTCTGCAAGCACGTCATCGTCGAGCTCCTCTCCTTCGTCAGCCATGACTCTATCCTCATCATCACCTTCGACGTCATCATCACTCTCATTGTCAGCATCCTCGTCCTCGATATCTTCCCACCCTTCATCTATATCTGCGTCTGATACGTCGTTAGTGATTTCTTCGAGTTGATCGTCCTCAAGTTCCTCTTCTTCAGGCTCCATGTTTCTCTTGTTGGAGAACATCATCCCAGTCTCTGGTAACTTTATGACCGATTCCGCCACCACGGAACCTCATGAACATGTCTCGATCGACAAATCTGTACATGTAGTGTAAATATGTCAGCCTTAGTAGCAAGAATTAAAAAAACTGATGCGCACATGTTCACATATTGAAAACGGCATTCAGACTTGGGATCTTGAGGATCTATGCAATGTTGAAAACTGGGAATCAAGTGCACCCCACGAATGACGGAATCTGGATCTAAAAATCCATATGCATCAGGGCTGTCTTCATCAAAGAATTCAAGGTGTTGAAGTCTTTTTGCAGCCCAACCTGCAGCTGAACCATCCCGTCGGAACCATCGGACAAATAAGAAGTCCATCCGCATTGGACAGTGAGTATGTGCGTGTGTCATCCTGACGGTATTCCACATTGACATGGAATATTCCCATCACACGAGGGTACCAGTATGGGTGAGTCTTCTCATCTTCGTGGGAGAGAACCATTATATTGGCACGAGTGCGAGGATTGATGGTGTCCTGTTCACTGTCGTAGATCGTATGTCGTATAGTTGATGCTGTAAAATGCTATGATGGTATATCTTGTTGTCAGTGAACAGGACTGAGGCGCGGTCAGCATCGGAAAATTCGTGCTCATCTCCATCATATGCAAGATTGCGAAGTCGAGCGAGCAGATGGTCCTTGAGTCGTGGAATAAAGTCCTAATAAAATAAAATGAAATCATGAATATAAATATCAAAAAGAAGCTTACCTCGATAGCAGGTATCACACAAGTCTCCAGTATCTCGGCGTTCAATCAACCAAGAAGTGATGTCATCGTTCAGTCCGAGCATGTTTGGAAATGAAGTAATGATCCAAGGGGGACATCCGGGCACGCTGTGGTCTTGGATTGCGTTTGGCTGCAAGTGCAGCAATCACCTTCTCAATGAGTCGTTCTTGAGCTTCTTGAGAAGTGATACTGAGAAGCATTTGATCTTTCTTCTTGCCTGTGCGAGGGTATCGGCGCTTTGATCGACGATGTTCGAGTTCTCCCTGTAGAATTCATATTAGATATTGTGCAAATAACATTGCAAAAAAATCACTTACTGGTTGTGTTGAGTAACTATCTGAAGTACCGACTCGCCAGATAGTATTTGGGTAGTCACCGAGCGTGTGATATTTGTAGGTGAAAAGATTTAAGGTTTTCACCTTTGGGTTTGCGTTAGACCTGCCTTTCTGCAACGTGTTTGCAGATGCCAGTTGTTTTGATGCCAATGCAGCCTCACTGGCGTCCGCAGTGCAGCGTACTCATTTGGCAGTTCGGTCGTGTGGTAGTATGCACAAATAGTGCATTGAAATTTGCGAACTGATTGTCTGAGGATGACAGTAATGGAGTCGAAAAATGCAAGGGTGTCGTCAGTGTGTATGCGAAGTTTTGCATAAGCGTGCCACGTAGCGAGGTCGAAAAGGAGGTCAAGAACGATTGTATCCTGTTCGGGAGGGAGGAGTCCTTCGAATACTGGAATAGCACACTGGAAATGAAAGGCGCATCAAGAACATCATCAAATTCTGATATGAAAGTCTGATCTGATCAAACTTACCTGTAACAAGTCTTCGAAATCACAGGCTGCAAGACGCTTCATTGCAGATGCATTCTTATGGAAGCGTCTGATTGTTCCTCTGCCAAATGTAGGAACTTGGCGGTACCTGTATGTAGTCCTGTAAGCAAGGTGTAGTATTGCCACAAATGCATCATGACGTACCTAGAGTTAAGATCCTTGACTGCTGTGCCACCTGCAGCCAAAAGGATGCGCATTAGGTGTATGAAAATGGCCTTCCATACACCCAACTCGAACTCATGAAGCAAATCGACGACGAACATTGAAAAAAAATTGAATATATATTTGAGGAATCGTGTAGAGAATGCGTTCTGATATGAAGGATTAAGATATAAATATAAGATTCATACATACATTACTCACCCTGAGTTGGAACTAGTGACTCGTCTTGTAAAATCCTCTTGATGCATTGGCCATTGATACTGACACCATGTTTAAAAATAAACCTTCGGGCTTTCTCAACTTTGTGATGACATCGTTCATCATCAGCGCCCCGAGTTACTTGGCGCTTCTCAAGATCAATCTTCATTCCCATATTGGGGATGTCTTCTTTCTTGACGAGGCAGCGGGGGCAAGGGCATTCGCCGAGGAATTTGATACAAGCAAGTAGAATCCTGTAACAATAGACATAGTAGGATGAGACATAAGTATAAGAATTAATATTAAAACACGCACTTTTCGGGATAGTCTGCAGAGTAAGTAAAGAAGCGGGGGAAAACACGTCGAGTGATCCCATCACCACATCGAATGACAATACCATTTTTGTAGGCGTCCATGAACTCTTCGTCCAGTAGAAGCGCCCATATGGCCTGCATGAGTTCACGTTTGCAGTGAGTATAGACATCACTGGATGATGCCTCGCCAAAGAGACGGCCGTAATGGTCTTGGAAGTCATCAGGAAGCTTAATACATCACTGGAATGAGTATAATCAAATTAATAGATCGATGGAACTTACATTAGGAATGTATGCAACATGATGACAGGCAGATGCTGTCGGCTTGCCTCGCGTGTACTTAGATTGATTTCCGAAACAGAGATAGAAGGGCCAGAGAGATGCATCTCCAAAGCTGGCAAGATGAGTGCTGTCAGACCACATCATCAGTGAGGCCACAACTCGCTCGAGATTATCGTCTGGATCTCGGGGAAGTGCATTAATCTCCTCGTAGGCTTCCAGAAAAGAAGGCGAGGAATATGCCTCGCTATATACATTGACAGTGTGACCTTCGGAGATCTCCCATTGCTGACGGAAAGGTGTTAAATGGAATGTTGATATAATACTGTCCTCAAAGACCGATCTAATGATGTCAGTGAGGGAGCGGTGATGAACGCCCGTGATCTCTAGTTCTGGAGCTTCTTCTTCTGATGCAAACTTGACCTTTTCTTTGGGCAGACATATCTTTACTGAGGAGCAGCGCCAGCCATTTTCCACGTGGAATGGATTAGATCTGTCTTGGAGATATGCATTCATAAGCCTCTTCTCACGTACATCGTCGAATAGACGCATGTCTTCTCTTTCATATTCGTCATTATCAAGAAAAAACTGTGTGAGGCATTTCATTTCGGTGCTCGATTTGGAGTTCATGCCAGAATACTGCCAGCACATGAGAAGACCTGCGGTCGGGCTGCTGAAGGGGGAGAAGATATCTTCAGGCCGAATGTCTTGGGAGGGAAGTCCAGGAACAATCTGGGATCTCTCCAGATGAGGGCTGCACCATGTTTCGAAGGTTGGGGCATCGGCGATCACATCAAGGCCTTCGATGGGTATGAGAGTCGGTTGTTGTGCATAGACACGGAAAAGACCCAGTACGTCTGGTGCAGTCCGGTAGGGGACAAGTAAGGGCTGGTGGTCAGGGAGATTGTCGATGACGCGGTTGGGAGGGCTGTCTGGCGGAGGAGGTGGTATATGTGCTAGATCAGTAGGTCCAGCTGGGACAAAGTCTGCATAACGAGCAGGCATGCGGATTCGTCGGCCAGACCAGGCAGAGGTTATGGCAGGCGCATCAGGGATTGGTGGAATTGGTGCGCCGACGTCAGTAGAAGCTCCAGCAGTATTTTCATCCTATTAGTTGTAAAATTAGACAAACCGATCATCCAATATAAAATGACTTACCTCGTGCATATGATCATGATCGAGCCATTGATCATTGTTGACATCCATCCGGTCTTCAGGACTTAGTCGACGAGCATTGCAGCTCGTATCTCTGCCTTCTGGTGAGGAAGATGCGTCAGGAGCTGTGACACGTTGCCTTTTTTTCTTCTGGTGCATTTGCTTCTCCAGATGGCGCTGCTGTTTATAGACGTCAGCATCCAGGCTCTTACTGGCATCACACTGAGCCTCATGATTACTGAGGCTTTTCTGAGTCGTGAAAACCTTTGCACACCCAAGGCAGGTGAGGCCGTCCATGGGATGCACACTCAGCCCAACATGAACACAAACTTTAGATTTTATATTGCATCATAGATAGAATAACAAATTAATAAGACTTAGCAGGAATATGTATTAGATCTAGATGATCCTGCTTCCTGCAACTCTTCTCCAAATGAGTCTACTAACTCCCAGTCTAAGTCCTTGAAGTTGCCTGCGCCATTTCGCCGCATGGCTCAGCTATCACCACCTGCATGGTATGTGAGCATCCTTAAGGTATGACAGACACACCTATTCCAGTCTGTGGATGAAGCAATCAATGCTTCTGATCAAGCAATCGGTTCATGATCATGATTGTCGACTCAGATATGACGAAGAGATATGTTTGACTTAGAGAATTGAGCCGATACAAGGTGGGTCATGTGATTTCGGAGATTGAAATTTGCCTTTGTTGATCAGATTCTGATCACACGACTTCTTCTACTGATATCATTGCATCACATCTTAAGCATGCTGCACAAACGTCATTCCGGATCCCCCTCAGCTTCAGAGAGCGACACCAGCAGCGACTCTTCTATTTCCTCAATGGAACACTTGCAACCTCACCCTAAGAAGTCATCTAAAAAACGCGGGCGCAAATCTGATAAAGGTGACCTGAGAAGTAAAGTAAGTTTTCTATTCAAATTCCTTGCGCCGAGATCACTAATATAATCTATGATCAGGAAAACTAAGATCTCGAAAGAGAACAACTCCGAACTCGAAGTTCAAGAGGAGTATCTTGCGGCAGCACGTGCCATGGCACGTTGCACCGATCTATTTTGCAACGTGGAGAAACTCCTAAGGGTAGGTCTACTCCTACAGCAAGAGCAGGCCACAGAGAATGGAGAATTGGAAGAGTCGGAGGCCGAGCGCGAATCCCGTCAGAAAAGGCTTGCAAGTCTGTAAGTCCAAATTTTCATCTTGCAAAGTCTACACTAAGATGTCCATTTTTTTTAGTTCAACCAATACCCTCGATTGGTACAAGCAGCAACTATCAGCAGTTGCTTCAACTGCCTCCGGGACTCCGATCACTTATTACTGATCGTGTGAAGTCCAAGGAACTCACTCAGATCGCACGAAAGGTGAGTATATGCTGCTTATATGCGCATATACTGTGTACTGATATACTATTTAGATGACTGCTGTTATTAGTGGAACACGTTCGGACGATGCAACTCGCTTGAAGGTCCAAATCGGCCACTATGTGGCGCCTGAACCATTAAAAGAAGGTTTGAAGCCTACAATTTATAATGGCGGCTCACTGTCCAGGGCGCATATGGGCATCAATCACCCTGTGCTTGCTTCTTTTCTTTGTCTGATATCAGCACTCACTGATTTCAACCTGAGATCCCGCATTGTAAGTACTCGATTTATGACATCCGATCATCTGATGTTCTTTGACTTAGGGCCCGAAAATGGATGGAGATCGGATGTATTCGTATGACCTCAATCGACTTTCTGGTGTTTCTGTGGGCCAGAAATCCTCCTGGCAGCAGGTACGACAAGGATGCCATGCACGAGGGCCTGTTCCAGGGCTATCTCATTGAGCGTGTAAGTCTTTTAGTTGATTATATGCGTGTATCTTACTAATATTTTGTATTACTAGATAATGTGTCATATTTTTACAGGTCCGTCCACTGCATTAGGTGACGACTCACGCGCTACGTGTTCGTGCAACGCGTCCCTGCATGATATGACTACTGTCGAGGCAGAGCATATAGCATATGCTTGCGTTCAGGTGAGTTTTATTTTAATTGACGTACTTAACACAACTGACTTATTGTTGTCATATACTACTACTACTGCCAGGCACGCTTCGCCATCAGCAACAAGAACAAATGGTCTGAAGCGGACGGCGAATTCAACAACCGAGCCTTTTACTACAACATCATCGACTTCATTCGCGAGTGCGAGGACAGAGATTGGGCAGAGGGACTTCTCAAATGGTGGAACAGGTATGTTTTTATCTTCTCTCACATTTTACCTAACTAATCATTACTTTTGCCTTAAGGGCATTGTTTAAGAATGAAAACGGGCGCGAAGGTGGAACGACTATAACTGACGACAACGGACCAGGCAACGCGGCTGGCTCTTCCTCGGCTCCAATCAACAGCCTAGCCAAGATGCGAGCGCAGATGGCCGCTCGTGCCAGCACTGCCAAACAACCCGCAGCACCTGAACTCACTCCGACTATCCCAACACCGCCTCAAAGCTCTGTCACCCCGGAACCGGAACTCCCCCCACTGCCAATTGCTTCTGTCACCCCGCAACCGGAACTCCCCCCACCGCCAATCGTTCGATCTCCAAGGCTCATGCAGATGGCCCCCATCCCACCAAAATCACCTGCACTGAGTGAACTCACGCCAGATGATGTTCCATCTGACAACAATGAGGACCTGGAGGACGTCAGCACCAACAAAAAGAGGAAAAAGAAGGCACCGAAAACCAGCCGGGGTAAGACCAAGCACCGCGTGATAGAGGAATCCGATGATGAGGACCAGGAACTGGCCAAGCCAACCAAAGGTCGCACCAAACGCGCAGCACGCAGAAAATAGATGGTATCGGTATGTTCATTTTGCCTTATACTTACTATGTCATCACTCGATTTTCCTTGATCGGTTTTAGATTTTTCACTTCATCGCTCGTTCGGACTTGGCAGCCGCTTCTCGAATCACCGCATTTTCACACTGGACTTTGCCTCGTTGCACTCATATTCTCACGCTGGGACTTTTGGCGTTGTGCTCTTGTTACCTCCGACATTGCTTTCTATGTTATCTCTGGGTTCTCTCATTCAGTGATATCCTGCTAGTGCAGTAGGTTCCTTACATTGTAGCGCCTTACAATACATTGTACTATCATGATGATAATGAATATCTGACTTTAACTGAATATCTCTGTGTGATTTACAATGTCTGAATAATCTAATTGAGATAATAATATATTTGCCTGGAACACGTTGTACACGCTCAGTCCATTGGACATTTCAGGTTCCAAGTCTGCTCAGACATACTAAACCCTAACCCTGATATTATTGACAGTATTGATACCGTATATATATCTATGTACATCAGTGAACCCGTGAGGAAAGTAGATAGCAATAAATAACAATATATAGTACATAATCACAAGAACTAGCATAATTTTGCTATTGACAATCACATTGTTATGTTTGGCCTTATAGAGGAAAGACGCGTCCCTGATTATCATATAAAATTTTATGAAATGCCATAACGAAAGGGAGGTTCACAACTCCGAAGCATCAAATAATTGACATGAAAATATAAAGCTTTACAATGCTTTATCTAATTGCAAAATTTACATGATATCTGTCAGAATGATACTACCTGGAGTAAGTTAGACAGAACTACCGAAAGCGCCAGCATGACAGATTGCCTGCAACAACCTGCCATTTTGTCACCAGCACCAAATTATTCTCATCCTCAGCACTCATTTTGTGAAGCAAATTAATTTTATTTATATTTAAATACTACATATGTAGTTACAGGATAAAAAGAAAACAGGGAAAGATAGCGGAGAGATGAATGAAAGGAGGGACCAAGGCCAGGAAGGAGCCACGAGGAAAGGAAAGGGAAGGACCACCACGAACGGCCAGAGGAAGGAACCATAAGGAAAGGACGGACCACCACGAACGGCCAGGAAGGAACCACGAGGAAAGGAAGGGCCACCACGAACAGCCAGGAAGGAACCACGAGGAAAGGCCAGGGAGGAACCACCACGAACGGCCAAGGAGGTACCACAAGGAAAAGGCCCGAACGGCCAGGAAGGAACCACAAGGAAAGGCCAGGGAGGAACCACCACGAACAGCCAAGGAGGTACCACAAGGAAAAGGCCAGGGAGGGACCACCACAAATGGGAGGAACGAAGATGCTGAGTCAAGAGGTGGTGGTAGTAGCGGTGAAAGAAGGATTGAAAGGAACTTGCGTGAAAATTTCCGTCCTGCGCAAACAATGACAAATCAATTTCAACCACTTGCACTGGTCACATGATTTGAGGTTGTCCGAAAATTCTAAGGTAAAATTTGAGGCTAAGGTGATAGTCACGTGCATGATCTTGGATGACATTGTAATTCACGCAATATTTGAACCGATCTATATAGTTTTGTAAGTCAAACATAAATGAGGTAATATGATGTTGCTCAACAAACAGTACCTAATTACACTATCATACCTCGCTGGTTGAAACTCTCATAAGAATATAAATTAGGTTACAAGTGCTAACGGTTCTTTCCATGATAAAGTCTTATATCACTTGGTAGTTTAAAACATAAATGAAGGGATATGGTATGAGTCAACAAATATAACTTAACTATGCTATTGCATATTGATTGCTGCAACGGCGCAATGTTGTAATCTTGTTGCGAACTTCCCATGGTAAAATGAATTTTCAGATATTCATGGCTATGTACCGATAACTAATATTTATTGCCGTATACATAGGTATATTCAGCCGTAGCATAATGATATCATCTTATACTTCCCACAGCTACAAAATCAAGGACTCATGAATTCACTGATGTATTGTTAGGTCTAGTATGAGCAATTTTTGTGATGACAGTCTTTTGATTTATTCCCGCCCAATTACTCTTGTAATTTACACCGAAAGTTATACTCAATAGTTTCTTTGAATCAGGCATGCATATAGAATACTGGCGGCTGTTTCAAGCCATCACATGCAGGTGATTATAGTCATACTTCTGTTTTAAGCTACTCAAAAGAGATCAATTCACAAGCAGGATCCCACCCTCCCAGCGGCTCCACCTGCTTGTGTCCACCCCGAGCTAACACTCGGTCCAGCACAACCGTTAGACCACACAGCCGTACACGCTACATGTGCATCCAAATCTTGGCTTTACAGCTGGTGCCTTATTATTCCTATTGTAATCTGAATATGCGGTGCTGTCTATATATATTTCGACAGATATCAATCACAGGTTGAGACTGAGTCTGATACATCACCATCGCGTCGGTTCAGTGCGGTGCGTTTTCCATCAGATTCGAACCAATACTCACCACTGCCATTTGGCATCGTTATGATGTGATTGCTCGATGCATGAGGCAGAGAAAAAGAAGGAGTTTCAGACTCTGAAGAACAAATCGGAGCAGGGAGAAGTGTGATCGGAGGGGTAATTTGCGTTCAAGCTGTTCTCATTTTTCCATTTGGATCTCATGTCCTTATACCCACAGAATATGACCTTGTTTGAGCCTTCGAGTGCTGATCGGCTCATCGAGTATTATTGAGACAGCAGCTTCGATGGTCACATCATACCTAGGCATGTGTTAGATGGATGAAATCTCACTGATATTACTATGCAAGGGTAGCAATTATATTTCGAGAATGGCATAGCAGAAGAAAGTTGCTGAAATTATGAACAGTTTATTGAGAAACACTATTTCACAGCAACATCTACTTTATGTGATTCCCCTTTCTACTCGACATCGTGAGATAACCCTACTATCGCCTCCATCAATCACAGCAGTGATATCATCTTTCATTTCAGCAATAAAAGCGCGTGGTTTCTATCGTCCTTAATCCGCTACTTATTTACCCCCCGTTCTCGAACAGTATGACCCTAATCTCGAATGATCCCATTTGGTGGTCAAGCATCAATGCAGCTCGTATTAGCAGCTATTTTATAGGTTCATGGTGAACTAGTCGGGTCATGACAATGACGTTTGGACCTAGCCTTGGCTATGATTTCACCTGCTGCTGTCATTCTGATGTATTAAAACTGACCTTATCACAGAAACCGTGATACATAAACTCGATGGTGTGTCGCTGGTACTACAGCCTAGCGACCGCTGCCAATGATACATCATATCCCACTCGGCGTGATGTATCACTTCCAAGTTCCCGTTGATACATCATATCCCTCTCGGCTTCCCACTTGGCTTGATGTATCACATCCGAGTTCCTGTGTAATACATCACATCCGAAATCCCGTAGACGCTCAGCATTATCACATTGGCAATGATACATACGATACATTAGGTCAGTGATACATCAGATGTCAGTGCCCTCTTTGTCATCTGCAGGTGAGCCCTCTTTGTCGTCTGCAGGTGGGCCCTCTATGGTCAGTAATACATCAGCCGTCTCCGCAGTGTCATCTTCGTCGTCTGGAAGGAGCTGAGACTGTACAATTGAGGGAACAGCTACCCAAAGCTCTTGAACGTGCTTAACCATTGTGAGCCGTATATGAGCTTGCCGTGCTGCATATGCAAGACCCCCTTCCTGATGAGCAGGTTTCACAAAGATGGCTGCAGTTCCACGATCTTTCCACCATTTTGCCTGCCACTTAAAAAACTCAATGACCCTTCGCATTTCCTCGAGGAGCAGTAATACTTCTTTGGACCACCGTCCTTCGCGTGCACGTGCTTTGCACCATTCAATCCATAGACCTGGAACACAGTGAGATAATGTCAGATCACAATATAGGTCACATACAATCTTGCAGGCCTGCGTTGTCATTATCCAAGGCACCCAGCACCTTCCAGATCCATGATATGTCTCTCGTGCCCTCCGACTGACCAGGTCCGATATCACCTAATGTACGCAGGTCTGCAACATGCAGAACCCGTAATTTCCCCTCCCAAGCGACCTTACCCAGAATTGGACCGAGAACAATCAGCGCAGCATGAGCCATGTCGTATTTGAGCTTGCTTGCTGTTTTTCTCATATCCGCAACGTCTAACATGCTGCGAGCACGGGTCGATGCTCGTTATCCACAAATGTGAGTCCGTTTGAATGTCTTGAGATGAGATGAGAGGTGAATGCTCTGGCGCACTTTATTTAAGGCATCGTGTGCTTGAGCGAAGCAGAGGTCCCATTCGAGCTCTTGCAGCTTGCGGTCGCAGGAATATTCTGTACCTAGCGAGGAAGGGAGCCAGAGCAGTAAATTTTCTGGTCTGTCTGCATTGTTACTTGCCTCCCGCGTGAGTTCTGATGCTGAGCGAAGTAAGGAAACTGTAGGCATGTATAGTGTCTGGATTGTTGTCCACAATTCGATCTTGCGTAGGAGTGCGTTACTTCGGGTGCAAATCTTGGCTTTCTGGATTTCAGTGGCGTGAACTCCGAGTGTAGTGGCATCTGCGCATAGACGACGCCTAAAGCAGACATAAGCTTATGAGAGGGTCTCGTGAATTGTGGACTAACTGTTGGTCTTCTAGATCTAAGCCGGTAGAAATAAGTATGAACAGTGATACTTCGTCATGTAGAGATACATTTATGCCAGCTTGTAAGTCGTGAGCCTCATTCTCGGCCAGTTGAAGTCGAACGGTCATTTGTGTCATTGCTTGAGCGAGAATCAGAACAAGGACATGTGGAAGTACAGATACATTCACTCACGCGCTATGCGGCTCTCAAATGGGTTGGGCTGCGAACTATCATCTTCCCAAGCCTCAACTTCGGATTTCCATGCATTCAGGGACACATCATCTATCGTGCTCTGCAGCTCCGCTAGCTCGTCACCATGAATCTTGGCACTCCTCACAGATTCCTTCAGTTTGTGTAGTAGAACATGACCTGTTGCATTTTTAACACATACTAGCGGTAGCAGCGGTAAAAGAAACTTACTGAATGTCGTCACTTTTTTCCAGTTCCAATCGCCAAAATTATTGTCCAGGGTGTCGCGACGAGCCCCGGGACCCATCTCCTTAGTGCTGGTAGCCACCCTGTTCACGTTCACCCAACCTCTCTCTGGTGCCTCTCCATCTGTGCAACCGACACCCTTAGAGTAATTGAACAAAAAGTTTGTCTGGCAGGCGGGGATGTGTGCATTGATGTGGAACTTTGGCACGAAAAATCGCACTGTCTTGTTCTTGCGGTCGAACTGTAGCCTATCAGGCATTGAGGCCAAGCGTGCCCATAACTTTTTGTGCCATTGGCAGGCTATATCATAAGACAAATTAAGGACAGCTGCACCACTGCCAACGATGACGGAAAATACGAGATAATCCATATTTATGTATCTGTGTGAAAAGTCAGACTGGCGAGTCAATGAATCAAGTCCAATACTTACTTCTCCCCCTTTTGGAGATCGCCTACTCCACTTGCGAGCTTCATCTCGTGGCGAGCACAATCTATGGTCCCTACACCAGTCGCAGCAAGGCCTCTTGAAGACTTCGTGTCCGCCATATTGACTGCGTTATGACTAATGCACGCGCTTCGCTGAAAGAATATTGAGCACAATGACATCATTATGGTGAAATCGAACCTCTTGTGGCAGTGTGACTCGCTCAGCCAGGTAAGATTTGTAGTGTTTTTCTTCTACAAAATAAGATGACCCATTATTGAGGCTGGGGTCACGCTTGTCACTCGACACTGCTTTCCGTTTCAAACGAAAATTAGCATCAATCGAGAGAAAAAGTGCGTATACCCATCTGCAGTGAGTAGTAGTTAGTAGTAGGAAAATGTGTGAAGAAACAGATATTACTTTGACCTGGGCTCCGCCTTCTCCCATCCCTCTGGAAGGTTTATCCCTGGTTGCGGGCATGCAGGACAAAGGACGACGCAGTCACCTTCTTGTGTAGTACCAATGCCATTGGGGTGGTGTCCCCTCCCTGAGCGTTTGAGAAGTTTCAGGTTCCGCCACTCCCGCACCATGCGAAGGAACGCGGAATAACGATCCTACCGTGCTGGGGTAAGTTACACCTCATGGATATTGCAGTCATACATACCTTGATTGGTGTAATCCTGGTATTATCTGTGCGGCGGGAAAGACTATGGTAAAATTCATAAGGTGAAACTTTAGATTCAAATGAGAGTAAATGAAAAAACTCCATAACAGCAAATGTAGCGGCTGTTTGAGGTTTGGAGGACGTGGCAGAGAACCAGCGAGCACAGAGGAGTTGGATGTGATGGATCTGTGCCGTCTCGCAGCCACAGAAATCGAGGCCGATTTCATGGATCTCGTGGGCATCAACAACGGTAAAGTTGTCCCCATTCGCCCTCTGTTTGTTCAAACAGACCTCGCCAGGGTTGTGACCAAGTTGAATGCGGAGACCAAGGGACTTGAGTGAGACGCACTTGAAGAAGTCTTGCATCCATTCCTCTATTCGATGCAGTGGATTGCATCTATAACATTCAACCACGCAGCTCTGACAAACCATCTCTATCCCAAAACAGTCCCTGCACCTGTAAATGGGCAGGTCCTCGCCTCCGCAACGACATAGAGAGCAGGCTGCTTTGTTTCCACGACCTTCTAGCTGAATCATTTTGTCTAGATATGTTGAATGCTCTGTAAGCCACAATAACAATGGATTGTCCTAAGAGATATTATTATGAGTTGACGAACATCAATGCGAAAAAAACATACCCCTGGAGTCCGTTTCTTTTTAGATTTTTGAGAGGATGGTAGCTGGTCTGCCGATGGCAGCTCAAGCTGTGCTGTCTGGTCTATGTTGAGACTGGGAAGAGGCTCGTCCCAAAGGCTTGTGAAGTCAGGGGGCTCATTCTCATCAGACGAGAGTTCGGGCAATGAACGAGATACTGGAGATGAAGAAACGAATTGGGTGGATTGAAGGATGACCCCACCATCTCGAATTCCATAGACACGATGTTGTTGGTACTCAGTCTCCTCCTCCTGTACATCCACATATCGCACGAGCTTTGGACGCTTGCTTGGTCGGGGCATTGAATGTTAGCATGCGAAGAGAAGGGGATGGGCATCTTACCAGGCACTAACACCAGGCATGGTCATTCCAATGGAAACCTAAAGCCGCAACCAGTTTACCATTAAAGGGCATTGCCGAAGCTTCCAGGAGCTTCACCTTGCTTGCAAGGTCATATGCCAACCCGTTAATTCTGTGAATCGTCCACAACCGTCAACAACGGCAAGTACCGTTCCAAAAGCCGTCTATCTGGCTCTACTCAATCAGCTCAGACAGGTCATGTGATGTGAACGTCTCATTTGGTTCATGCCCTCTCACTGGTGCACCCATTGCTAGTAACACATCACACATGTAACACATGACTTCCCAAACATGTGGAAAGGCCAAATGTTCATATTCAGTATGTGTCCTAGTCGCTTCAGAGTTGCTCCCCTGCTCATCCCTGCCTCCCCTAGTTAATCGTGGTAGCCAGCGCGCTGCTCAATTTCATGTTGTCCCGAGTGCTGATATTCGCGATTCACCCTCTCGATCATCCACCCATCACCCTTCAGTGACCATTCTGGTCATTGCTCGTGGTATCTTTGTACATTCTGCCTCGCTCGCTCGTAAGTCAAACAAATAGCTGTCCTTGGTGTATCTGACGTCCGCAGGTGTCGTGCACTCCATCGCCTATGATCCCGCGGTCCACATTGTATGTGTGGAGGGTCTCACTCTTGCCGAGCTCTTGGCTAGTGATGCGAGGCTGACCTTGGCCATCAATCATTCGGAGGGTCACCTTGAAAATGTCTCTCATTACATGGACCCACAACTCAGCTCATCCTATACTTCTCTCCCATGACCCGACACTTTTGTCTGCATACACAACAGATGTTGCAGGATCGTGCGCAATCAGGTTAGCGATGCCTGTCAATGTTTGAGTGACTAACATAATCATCGCAAAATTTAGCTCGCACGTTTGAACTCTGTGGGATCATCGTACAAAGCATTGCTTGCTATGATGGATGGTGATTCTGTGTATATTATCCCATCCCCACTAGCCTCAAATATACTGCTTGTCCCATTAGTATGAAATCCGATATTATTCGGAAGCGCTCCCCAAGTGCATCTAACACGCCTGGCACTCCTTCCATTATGGAGGAGACAGTTTCAGAACGGGTTCTGGTGCAACAAGCACAGGTATTTCTTCATCTTCGCGGCACCTTGCTTTACACTTCCTCATTGTCGTGTCTCTCATGTTGTATTACTATTAATTTTACTGTTATTGCTCGTTCTAAACTGCTTGAAGCATACTGAGTTCATTGTGTGCAAGGAACAACAAAATAAGTAGCTGGAATGGGTGCAGTATTGTACGCACGGTTTGAATACAAGTGCTTCAGGACAAAATCCCTGATGACATGAGATGTGTTGATGATCCCCACATAATTTGTAGGGTTTTCATCCGACTGAAGTGGGTTTTCGTCTGATCAATTTCATTGGAGCATTCAAGTTACTAGTACATTGAATCATCCAGCTGTAATACAATGAGACCATGTTTGCGAAGTAGATACATTCTATATAAATACCAACTAAGACCCTTGCATGAAGGGACTTAACATTCATGTAGTAGCTATGAATTGGCACGAGTTATCGTCCGACCACACTCCAAAAGCAATCTGTACTTCTTTTCAACCAAAAGATCCCCAACCTCCCAACCAACACCATCATGGCACGTCCTCCCATTTACAAGACAGATCAGGCCAAACTAGAGGCATCTCGTGAAAGACGCTGACATCACTATGCAAAGTAAGTTATTATACATTTTATGGCCTCGCTAGTTCCTGACCAAGTAAATAAAAGAAACAGGGACAGTATACTGCAAAGGTGGCGAGAGCTTCGCATCATCAAGCCATCACAGGAGATATTGGAAATTCAAAAAGCTCTTGCCGAGGCCTTGGGCTATGAAGATGATGCTACTGCATCCGAGACGGAGGCAGACGATGATGAGAATGACCAACTGTATGTGTCGACATTGTATTTTATAAATAGATGAAATGAAGCATAATCAATGACCCACAGATTCAATCTCCCAGAGTGCCTCCTTGATATAAAAAACGTCAAGGACGAGATGCTGGCATTAGTCCCAGAACCCTGCGCATTTACGGAGGGCGTCCTCCTTCAATATGTCAAAAGCCTTCCGGATGATGGGAATGCCAAGGGTGATACCTTGATCGTCAACACTCCAAAACTTCAGGTTGAAGCCTTACTCCACCGTGCAATTTTTGCGCAGGACCAGATCATGAATTTCTGTGGAGTGTCAGCTGAGTCTCGCGCTGCTGAATCAGTCTCACATTACTTAAACACCGTGCTTGGTTATCTGGAGGACATTCAGTATTATTTGGACATTGAAGGGATTTCCGAGTTGACAATTGCCCACTCAATGGGTGAGTTAATGTATCAGAAGGGCATTCATCTCTAGATTTATGTATTTCTTGATTCATTCGGTTCATACTTGTAATGCAGAATACAGTTTGTTCATGCGAGATATCCACGCTGCCCTTAACGCACTTGAGGATCTTCGTACAGATGCCCGTGCTGTTCGAGATCAATGTCATATTTTTTAGTTAGATCAAAGGTCGATTGGCTTTGTCATGCAAGAACGCAAACACCGCATGACCTTCTGAAATAAAAAAATCTTTCTCATCCTATCCTTATGCACCAAAAGTTTACACCAACCTGCTAAAAAGTACACAACATATTAATAAAATATCTCCGAGAGTGCCGCTAACCTCATTTCAGATGGCTCCTCGACGATGGGCATCACCAGAGGAGGAGGAATTTGTGTACATGTTCTACGAGCAGTATCAACAGTGTCAAGCAAGGAGGGACTACAGTACCTTCTGGAAGCCCTTCTATGAGGCTTGGGGTGCCAAATTTCCCGAGTGGCTTGTTGTCTTTCCCGATATTCCTTTAGATGAAGATCTAAATGGGGAACAAAAGCAAATTGTTAGTAAAGTGTACGAAGAGCGGAAGCTGGTACGTACATCAGATACTTGCCTGCCGTCACCATATACTGACACGTTCCCGGCATTAGCAACTCATGCACAAGCTTCGTAATGACTGGGGTTCATCAAAGGCATTGTGCAAAGCAAAGAATAACAGAGAAAAAACTTGCGCAAGCTTGATCGCCAGTATCACAGCCCCACAGAGAGCCTGTGCTTTGCAATCCCACGAAGCCTATTCTAAGCTGTATTTTGCGACCCGCGGGAAGCCCACTGTAGATGCTGAGATGCAATGTCTTCAACATGTTGCAAATCTGGCGAAGTTAGGTAACAGAATGGACAAGAGGGGGGAAAAGGATATCAATGACACCACTGCTGACGATCCAACGAGTAGCTCCATGGAGAAAGGTCAGCTTCCCAAGAGGATTGCTGTCATAAAGCGAGTAACACGGGAATTATACGATCACGAGACCCCAGAAGTCAAAGCTGAAGTGGCAGCATATATCGAGCAGCTCAACGAGAAGAAAAGTCAGGACTCAGAGGCTGCGAAGACGGGGGAAGATATAGATCATCAAGTGTAACTCACCTTCCTCGAATGTCGATAACTTGACGGCAGCTGACTTTCATGTGCAGGACCATTGATCAGCTTGTCGACATCCTGGCAGAGTTCTTTCAAGAGCTTGAGCGACTCACAGGGTGGTCCTTCTCTGTCCTCATGGGTGGGCCCACACCTGCATTAGGAGGAAAGATTGATGTCAGCAGCTTCCATGTTGGATGTACCGAGATGGGGAACCTCTTTTCAGAAGCATATCCTCACTTCAATAGCACGATAATGAAACCTTGGGTAGAGTTTGTTAATCGCGCACATCGTAAGTGTGAAACTAACTTACCTCGCATATAAAACTGATGTTCTTCGCAGCAACTGCTGCAGCAAAAGGACTTCGGAAAGATGGTGGCGTAGAGTCGATGAATGACACCAAGACTGTCGGCGTCGAATCAATTGATCCGAGTCACACGGTTATGAATCACCATGTGACAAATACGTCGGAGCAGAATCCCGCAATGTCCGACTCATCCAACTTGGACACCACCGCCCTTCTTCCACCCCTTGATGAGTCAGACGAACTCAATATTCTCGCCGATGCCTTCTTAGCATCGCCCGAATATTCCCAACATCAAGCTTCAGCTTCATCTTCCAATACATATTCCTCCATCAATCCATATGATGATTTTTCTTGGATGCCGCTAGCATCACAGCCGTCAGCAGAAACCTCTGAACAGGGCAAGACATACGCACCTGGGCTCTTTCTACCCCAGCCTTCGCCTCAGCTACCCCAGCCTTCGCCTCAGCTACCCCAGCCTTCGCCTCAGCTATCCCAGCCTTCACCTCAGCTACCCCAGCCTTCGCCTCAGCTATCCCAGCCTTCACCTCAGACATGCCCTTCTACACTGCCATTCCCTCCCCTGTCAACCATGAACTCTACAAGTCCCACCGCAGTCAGCATCTTGATGCCGTCGCCTGTTGATCAATCTGTGGACTCGCCTGATGCAAGTCTTAGTGTCCCTCCTCCCCACACTTCCAAACGACGCAGACACCACGATAGCAACAAGAGTGAAATCTCTGATGCTCTGGTCGCTGGCCACTCTAAGCGGGTCCGCATGGGATCAAAGTGCAATGATATTGCGAATAGCATCGGGCAAGACACTACTAAGTTGGCTACCCAAAGGTGAGCCTTGTTTTGTTACAGAATCTGATCACTAACATGTTTAACAGGAAAAGGGCCTGACCTGATTAGATAGTTGTTGCATACAATGTATTCAATATGTAGCTTGTTTCAATGAATATCATTTCTTGTCATGCACGTAACATTTTGAGACCTCAAAACAAAAGGTTCAACACCAGCAACTGCGCATGAAGACTTAAGTTTCATGATACCAGGTGTGATGTATTAGCTATAATTGTGGTAGCGAGGTGATACATCACACCTCGGTACTTGAAAAAATGCTATGTACGCTGGGGTGTATGATTGCGGTAGCGAGGTGTGATACATCACACCTCGGTACTTGAAAAAAAAACTGCCAAGTACACTAGTACTGGAATGACATCATTGCGGTACTGAGGTGTGATACATCACACCTTGGTACTTGAAAAAAAAAATGCCATGTACGCTGGAGTAATACATCAGTGTGTCTGCAGCGCTGAGGATTCTTATTGATGTATCAGCCCTAGTACTCACATAATACAGCAACATTCACCCATCTCAGACGGACAGCCAAGTGTGACAATGTACCGTTGGGAACGGGCCATCCCATGTGGGCCCATGAACATAATTGTACCATGATATACGAGTGGGCTGGGTGAATGTGTGTACCCAAGACACACGGATGGGCTGAGGGTACATTATATAGACAGTGGTATAGGAATGTATTAGTATATAGGATATTATCAATGCTAATTCCTGTTTACATTGGAGACGAGTGGGCCGGCCGGATGTGTGTACCCAAGGTAAACGGATGGGCCGACCATATGAGTGGGCTGAGTGAATTTGTGTACCCGAAGCATACGGATGGGCCGAGAGCATTCAATATAGATAGTGATATAAGAATTTACTAGTATACATGACATTATGAATACCAAATCCTGTTTACGATGGAGACGAGTGGGCCGGCCGGATGTGTGTACCCAAGGTAAACGGATGGGCCAACCATATGAGTGGGCTGAGTGAATTGGTCTACCCGAGACATACGAATGGGCCGAGAGCATACATTATAAATAGTGATATAGGAATCTACTAGGATACATGACATTATGAATACCAAATCCTGTTTACGATGGAGACAAGTGGGCCGGCCGGATGTGTGTACCCAAGGTAAACGGATGGGCCGGGGTATATAGTATAGACTGGTACAGGAATCTACTCGAATAGCGAATCCGGTGTAAAATGGAAACGACCGAGCCGGACGAATAATATACACCGGAGATCCGGTCAGATTATCATCCGGCAGGTGCATCAATAATCTCACTGCCCTATGATCCGGTACAGGCAAATATACAATCCGGTAGGTGATAATCCGGTGTATCTGTCATCTCACAAGCCTGTCGTCCGGCACATCCACTATCATATGCTAAAAACATTGCACAAGTGAATATCAATCGGAGTAGACTAAAATATGAATCATCACTTGTCTAAACATCTTTCTTCTCAACCGGGTCACTGCGTTGTACATTGCCATATTTTGCATAGTCTGTCCTTGGAGTTCCAACAAAATTATGGATACTATCTCGCATGTACCATGCAGTGACAATCCGGCTACCCTGTTGAACATGCATGTGATGTCTGACAAGGCGACATGATGAGGCCAACATTGACCCGGAGTCATATAGAAACTTGATGCCGAGATTCATGAAATCCATTATGACCGGATGATAAACGCCTGTGGATGTCATAATATCAAATGCCTCTGGTCAACATTTCGGATCTCTATGAGGTGGTGACCAGCAATTGCAAATGACTGACACTACATTGAAGACAGATGCCCAATGTTTGAGATGATGGCACATGTCTTCTAACTGATACTGGGTCGCCCATTCACCGAGCCAGACTTGAGTTTTGATTCCAGCCCTATATAGATCTGGGTGCATGACCCAAAGTGCAGCAGAGACAAGGATACCGGACCTTTGAAGGGAGGTTGTGATATTGCGACCAGCATCACCTTTCAATGCAGCGGATACCTGAGGTGAGAAGCTGTCTTCCGGATCAAGTTTTGGGAAACCATGTTTCTACAATACTTTAGACTAGCAGCACCAATTGATGTGAACTGGACATACCTCTCTGCCTTGCTGAAACCAGGCGGGTGATATATTTATGCAACTGGGTGTGATCTTCCCATCCGGACTCGGATAGAAATTGGACTCATGGGTCCTCCATTCAGTAGCCTTCCTGGTGGTGATGCTATCGTTCAACAGATGTCCTATGGAATTCGTGGCGCATTGCATGTCTGTCTGTGAATATTGTCATATACATCAGGATGAGATGAAATAAAAAATGAATGTGGATATAAAACAAACCATTATCATGCCAGTCATGGCTCCGGGCAAATACCAGACAATTATTCTGCCTCCGGAATCAATGATGACACTCGGTGTTCTTAGGACAACCTGTTCTGCAGGAGGGAATTTGTCTAAAAGAGTTTGCTCTCATTTCTCACTTCGTCCTGGATTCATATTTTTCCAGAGATTCATTGTATCTAACCATGTCAATTTTGAGATGAACTGTTGGCAAGTTACTCGACCGGCACAGATATATATGCGAGAATGCATACCAGGATTGAAGTAAGCAACGGCCAGGACATTGGCAAGCTGCTCCAAAGCAATACAAGTGTCGACATCTAAAAGTCCAACACTCATTGGCTTTACCGGTTGTCGATGAATTTTGGACATGAAGGTGTCATAAACCAATTCACCGGCAAGGTAGGTCTGGTATAATGCCCAGTCCGGTGGAATTGTTGTCATGTGTTAGAGGAAATAAATGAGTGGTTAAAGTATGAGGAAAGACAAGAAGTGTTTGATGAATCCGTAACCGGGGATTTCGTTTTGAAAATTTACATTGCATTTTAATATACATGGGTATAACATATCTACTGAAGGCTTCCAGATGTCAAATTGGGCTTGACCGTACAGATGCACTGTCATCTGTATTCAACTGGTCCATGAGTGATTGTGAGGACGCCACGGCCCTAGTGAGTTCAGCAACCGGCCCAACTACTCCGGCCAACTTATCACTTGAACGTAAAAAGTTTGTCATCCTTCTCTGCAAAATTTCCAACAGCTCTCTACCGATTGTCGTCTGACGGCACTGCTCAAGAGATGCTGATCCGACCATTTCCGGTTGACGAACCGGGCCAAGTGTGAGCATATAAGGGAGGAGGTCGGTTTCCACATGATCCGGCTATTACAATGCAAGTAAGATTTAGTGAGAAACCAGTGAAGGAGGTCAAGATCTCATGGACTCACGAGTTCTGAAAAATGGCCCTCAACCAACTCCATCACATCTTGGACAGATGATTTTGGCAACATGTCTGGCACCCTGCAGGAGCCCAGGTTCTCCTTCCACCAGGCATTGAAGTAGTCTGGCATACGAGCAATGTCATATTGATCTGATGCGGCGGAATGGACAGAAAGAGGCAATGCTTTGATTTCCATGAGGACCTCATTCACATCCGGTTGCCGGTCCACCAATTTATGGACAACCAAAATTGCAATCACATCGTGGAGAAGTTTTGGAATGGTAGCGGAGCACCTGCTCAGGAAGGATATGTTGATGAATAGAGTTACAAAAGTCTATGTGACAGGCGACATTATTTGAGTGCAAGGGAAGAAGAATTGTCCGGTTGACTGGACAGCCGGACAGCTGGACAACCGGACAACTGGATGCTTACCTCCATTTCCCATTGCATGAGTGTGTAAAAATTTTCTGCATAACCGGGCATGGCTGTGGCAAAGCTCTTGTCAACATACAGGTGCATGGCCAACAAGCGAGAATTGGCGTAGAACAAAGCGCGAGAAATCTCTCCAGCGGTGATTTCACCATCCGAGTAGGCCACAATGATTTGATCAGAGGGAACCAGGGTGACGGCGTTGTTCATGGTGAGTGTATGACAATGATGTGATGGTGAGACTGACAAAGTTTGTTTTATTCCCACATTTTCAATACAACTACATATTAGCTAATCCGGGAACTATGTAACCGGTACTGGTACTACGATCTAACAACCAGTACTTCCAGCTGAGAGACCGGAATCACTTTTTGAAATGACTCCGCTGCATGTGCAGCCAGTTGTTGATATATGTGACATTGTCGGACAGCATAACACGCATGTCCGGTCAGCCCAGTGGAAGTGGCATTGTCTATGAGACTGAGCCATTGCTTGGCCTTGTAGGTAAAGAAATTGACAGACCACTGCATTTCATGTTTGACAAGAATGACCTCTTCATTCCAATGATCGCACAGGGCCTTTGTCTGGAGCCAATTGACTCTATAGACTGTTGTTGCAATATGTGAGACCGGATCACCCAATATCACCGGATGTGCTGGGTACTCACATTCTGTCATCCAGTCATTTCCGGATGTATCACCCTGAACATTGATTGACCAGAACCATGCGAGAGTAGTGTCCCTCTGACCACGTGCATTTGGATCTGCAACTGCAGCGTTTGCTTTCAGGTGTTCTTTCTTTAGTGGAAGATAGGATTTGATACAGTTTAGTGATCGTGCACTGCTGACGTCGGTGGAGTGTTGAACCGCCTACTGCTACGTTCTTACCCAGCTTCAATCTACTGATTATATTGTTTAACATGCCGGTATAACAGAACGACTCGGCCCTGTGGATCAAATACTATGTGTTTGCGCGCAGCACCCCCAGGCCAAAACTTTCTCCGACTCTCTTTAGCGATGCGATATGATTTACTCCACCCGCAGTAGACACGGGAACTTAGAATGGTTTTTCATGATGGAAGATCCCGTGGTGCGCAAATGAGTCGGGATGAATGATGAAAACAAGTTAGTCGCCGAAATCAGGATGTTCACTTTTTTCTTTGTTTTGAACGTTCCAACTTGCATTGTAGATTCTGGATCAGTTCAGTCTTTCCAGTGCGTGGCTGTGAGTCATAACAAAAACCCCTGCTTCAGAACAACCAAGTGATGAATGGGTGTTATACATATGATGCTTATGTTGGAAATAAAAGGTGATATAAACTGGTACGAATTTCATCGTCATTCGTTCACAAAGTTTGCCGCTCACTCACTCACATCCTCTAATAGTATGACCATAATCTCAAATGATCCCAGCTGGTGGCCACTCATCAATTCACATGTTCTTTTCAGCTATTTTATGGGTACGTACTAGTAGAGAGCCGGTCTGGTGACGATGGTGATATATCCTTCGCTGCATTTTCACAGTTGCTGTCTCGACTGGCGTAATATACGATTGGGGTGAGCAGGATTGTATGAAACAGTTATTGATATCCTGATGGTTCTCCAGCACTTGCATTTGGACAAGAGGTAGGTTGATGCCATCACCGGAACAACCATCTCTCTAAGGATGATTTCATAGGTCGAATTGATTTGGGTGAGCAGAGTCTCATGTTTAGAGAACAACATAAGATACTATCAATTCGCGACAGAGGCAATGCTGGTCCCTGATGACTGTCATGTATCTTGCTGTATGTAACTCGTGCTATAGGTGTGCTTAACAAGTTGAGCTGATGTGATAATATCCTAGGTGCGATACGTTGGAATGATATATGCTATGTATGTCCAGAAAGCTAAGATCTAGTATTGTGCTGATCGACCATCTCTCACCATCAGATTGAACATAGAGAGTGCATCTCTTCACATGCATTGTTTGTTGCTTCTGACCAGCAGCACGCAGTGGCTGTTCAGATAAGACCTCTGAAAGATGCAGTGAGCATTCCGTACTAATGTTTTCCCTTCCATACCCGTCTAATCAACTATCATGTAGGGGTGAGTGACATTCTTGGACAGCTTTCTGATCCATAATAATGATTGCTACAGTTGTGAGTTCCTTTGGAGCGTGTGATCCTCTGAAGCTTATCGCTGACCAGATGTCTCAGGCTATTACATGTACTTTGTGCTATATTGGACGCAGGAGGTCGTGATCAGGGAGTTTAGCTAGCTGCAACCGACATTTTGAATATATCCTGGCATTGAGATTGACTACCATTTCCACCAAGCGAACCTGAGTCCATGCCCTGGTGGAGGAGGCTTGTGACTTGGCTGACCAGATAGTATTCCGGAATATAACAGCTTTGTCTCCCAAATGAACTCTAATTGCATGAAGGGCGTCATTGGCCTGACCTTCACGAAGGGCAGTTTCTTCTTTCATGAGATCGGTGAGACCCAATTCATTGCATTTCACTATACCGAGGTTGGATGGCAAAGGTAAGAGTGTGAGCTCAGGTTGAAAGATGGAGCCATGATGTGTTTCCGGATCTGGATCTGGATTGTGATCGTCATTGAGATCGGAATAATCTTCATCCGGTAAATTATGAACCCTGTCTACCGGAGAATCCGGTTCATTGCCATCAACCGCAAATCCGAGATAGGTATGTGCCATCTCAAGAAAGCTTGTAATGCGATTTTGCAGCTTATCTCTGAGTCTGGCTACTGTCAACAATTGAATGTCTGTAGGATGCCTTCCGAGCCTTTTCACATCTCTAGAGAGAGAGAGAGAGATTTGGGATTCTTCTATGCTGAGACCAGTTGCAAGCCAAGTGGCTGCTCCTCGTCGACTGAGGGAATTGGTAGCCAGATGATCTGGGCGATTTTGAGCCTCCAGCAGGCGCAACTCCTGCTGCTTTCTAGTTGGAGCTGTAGATCATGCCATCCGGATAATAATCAGTATGTGATCGGGCCCGGATGAGTAGTAGTAGAATTTGACACTTGCCTTTTTCCAACTGGACCTCATAAATGTCCATGGCTGTTGGATCCTCCAGTCTGTTTGCCTGAGCAAGAGCCTCCTCTGCTTCCCAAAGAATTACCATGGCAGGCTGAACTGTCTCGTTAAGATTTTGGAATGAGAGTGCGCTCTCTGCAGCACCCTGAGCAGCCTCTTTAAACTTTCTGCAAAGAAATTTGGCTGAGGGGCAGGTCAGCCGGGAATGACTTATATGAGACCTGGACATATTTGTACATCCGGATATTGGCAACTCACTTATGCGAATCATCTTCATGAAGTTGGAATCATTCATCTGATAATCCAATACCTCCTTGCGATGAGGAGTTCCCATGCCCCTGGCTGACGGGGAGATTATGTTTAAAGATGCCCAGAGTGTTTCCATGATCTCTCCGTCTATCCTGCCGGTCCCATGGATAAAATTCGATGCATACCGGACATAGCAGCTGTCCTGATGGCCATGCACATGCCACAAACCTATTCCGGGAATGATATCCATGCCAATGGGGATGGACAGATACATGCTTGATGCGATCCGGTCCTTGAGAAACTTATTATACTGACAATTTATATCATAGAACATTATTGCTCGTGAGATTCCATCTGTATTGTAGTTGAGTGCTTGACTCAAGGCATAGTCCATGTTCATCTGCCTGATTATTTTCGAGATCAGTAAGACCGGAAATGCATGTAACCAGATGCAATGTCTATTTACCTTTCACCCTTCTGAAAATCCACCATGGAATGTGGGACAAAACATCCATGCCATGCACATGCACATCCTCCTATACCCATGGCCTCTAGCTTTTGTCGGGAGGCATTTGCTTGATTGACTGCGTGGTGATTGTTACAATCTGACTTTTGGACACGGTCTTGGGCAACAGCCAAATGACTCTTGTATCTTTCATCTCCGACCATGAATGCAAGACCATCCATCAATGATACTTCATCTGATGGATTCACCGGATGGAGGTGCTCGGCTTTAAAATTACCATCCATGACCAAAGTCCTGGTGAAGAGCCAGGAAGGGGTGTCGTCTGGCTGAGTGGCCGTACCGGTTGACCGGTCCAAATTTATCCCCGGTTGAGGACATGCCGGACAAAATAGGGCGAGGTCACCGGTCTTAGGCTCATCATTTTTATGGGCAAACCCATGCCACTTGTAGAGCTTACATTGACGCCATTGTCTGGCAGTCCTCATGAGCTCTCTGTAGCGATCCTGTAAATATTATTGTTCAATGACTGGCTGAAGTGCAGACAATGAAAACCGACTTACCGGAACCATCAATGGAAAGATGCTGGAGGTTAGCCTCCGGATCTTACTGTAATAATTCATGGCTGATGTACCACATTCAAGGTTGTCTAGCAGAAAGTCGTCCAAGACGGAGAATGTGAATGCAGTTTTTGGTCTGGTGAAGGATGCTGGAAATAAGCCTGCTTGAAAGAGCTGCATATCCCGGTCGAGAGCACCGGGGCAGTGGCAATACCATATGGATAGGGAGTGAACACCGGATTTGTCCACTATGGTTGTAGCCGGATGATCTGAGTCTGCGACAAGTGGAATGGAAGTTCCCTCCGGATAATCATTATGGTCTATATGTTCATCGGTATCTGACCATTCAAAGAGGTCTGATGAGTATTCAGTGCTGCTGGGACATGGAGTGCCATCATGAGCAAGGTGAATGTGCAGGCCGACTTTCATAAGTGAAGTTTCTTGAAAAAATGATCCGGTCCATTGACTGATGCGATGGAAAGGATGTCTTTGATGCTGGGTTCTGCAGCACTCTGTGCAAAACAGGGGCTCGTTGAAACACCCGTGGCATTTATAAACCCCATCCTTCTTGCAAACTTCACAAAGCCGGTCCAAGGGAGGGGATTCTCGGACCATGAGTAAATTTATGTAGTCCTTGAACTTGCGCTTCCATTGCCGGAGATATTCATTCTGACTCTGCATGATCCGGTCAGATGAAGACTGCAGATATCAGAAGAACTTCTGCTTGCCAGAGATTTTGGTAATTTAGGCTGAGGCATGTAGCCTTGGTCAAAGTCAAAGTCAGCACCGTCATAGAGCATCTGAGAGAACCCAGCTGTTTGCTTTGAGGGAGATTTTGTTGGTGACGATGTCACCGACTTTGCTTTCGGGGACCATGAATCTTTCACCCAAGATGACCTGGTTCCTCTGGAAGTAGTTTTCTCCTTCAGTTTATATAGCTGAGGCAATCGTTTCTTCATCGGAGGAGTGTATGTGATTCCCTTTTGTTTAGTATTTGCCATGATTGATACCAAGACCTAAAGGATTGTTGGGCTGGGGAGTGCACTTAAGCTTGATGATCGGCAGGCATATAACTTTACACCTGTGCCTTCCTTCAACTCCAGGCCTCTGAGTGATTTGAATCACCGGATTACCATTCCTGTTTGTCATTGAGGTACCAACTCCGGCCTTTGAGTGATTTGAATCACCGGATTACTACATTTTCTGTTCCTGTGTGTCAGTGAGGTTACCAGGCGATCAGAAATCTTAGAACATCATCTCTATTTAGGATATATTAAGGTCAGAGCAACCGAGTTTGCCATAAGTTTCGTCATTTCCGAGTTAGTTAATCAGACACATCGTAATCCTGCCATCATCCCAATTCCCATGGATTTCTTCCGGTATACATGTGTCTCCCTATGCTGTATGGCATATTTGAGAGTATTACTGTATGCTGCCTGTATACTATATGATAAACTTGGTCTAAGTTTGTGTGTTTTGCAGTCCTAAATTCTATGAACTGGAAACACAGGGCATGTTAAGCCTGAGAGTATCATGTTGGCAGACAATCTCTTGTTCGGTTTACTATCGGATACATGGTGGCGATTGGCTATGTAAGATTATACTGTATCCTTTCTTCTACCAAGACCTCAACTGCTTTGCAATGGCCCGATCCAACTCATCAGTACACAGCCCCCAAAAGACCAAGCAGAAATTGACTGAGGAAGAGCTGCTGGTCTTACAATCTCACTTAGAAGAATGGAAGGAAGCAACCGGTAAGGATAGGAAAACAATTTTGAAGGCGGTCATAAAAGAGGCCAAGATGCAAGCCCCTAAGATGGATGCCCGGCTGTTGAAGAAAAGGAAATCTGTAAGCAGCCCATCTTCTAATTTCATAAATGCTCATGATGGGTGAAGATGTACCGGGACTGGTTATATAACTGGAGAGCTGAAAAGACACTCAAAAAACAAAGCAAGTTCAGTAAGAAATGGACTACCCAGTTGGTGATAGAACACCAGTACAAGAAGGAGATCCTTGAAAAGACCGGAGCAAGGCCAGGAGGGAAGGAAATGATTAAACTCTACCAGGGTGCGGTCAATGCAATTATGGCCGGTTTATCTGAAGAGCAGCTGGAGGAAGCAAATAAGACTGCGATAGAATGGTCTAGCAGTGCTCCTCCTACAGATGTCCAGGCTGAGTTCGCTCAGAAGAAAGCTCCTGGTATGATGAAGGATCTTGTGACTCAGTTATGGAGGCAGGCTGGTATGAGGATATTCATATTGTCTGCATGGAAAACCGAGGAAGGCGAAGTGAGGATCAATGGGTGAGTGACATTTTCATTCTCTCAACCGGTAAAGATGGCCTGATCTCGTCATAAGAATTGACTTCAATGAAAAGTTAGATGGCAATAGTTTCACAAATACAAAGGACTGGAAGTCCATGTTACCAGAGTGGAATGCCTATGTCGGAGAAGAGTTTGGTGAGCTTTTTGTGCAATGTTGATGCATCCGGTCAAGTACTTACACCATGTGATGCCAGCAATTGACCGGAATGATGATGACGATGGCAATGAGGATGGAGATGCCAAGGAGAGCAGAAACCAAAGGAGAAAGAGGGAGGAGTTCACTTTAGAGGTCGATGCCTATGGGCTTCCGGTCATACCGGATATTGAGCCACTCAACTTAGAAAACAAAAAGTCTCTTATCCGGACATTCCTCACAAAACACTACAGTAAGTTTCACAAATCAAATATCTGGAGGGTTGATAAAGGAGTGACTTATTTTGCAGGGTTTTGCAGTCAGAAGCCAAAGGCGTCTGTTCCTTGGTCTGCAGTGATGGAGGCTCAAGAGAATTTCATCGAGCCCAAGTTTTTACCTACCAGTGGAAAGATCAAGGACCCATCCAAGCTTCAGCTTCATGAAGCTGACCGGCTCTTGCAGTTCTGGCATCAGAGACAAAAGGACAAGGTTCGGCCAACATTTGAATTCAAAGGCTGGCAAGACCATGAGAAGGAGATGAGGGAACCGGTGGAGAAGATCTCAGAGAGCGACTCTAGCACAACATGCAGTCCAGTAACATCAAGGACTAGAGTTCCGGTTCAAAAACCAACCGGCAGGTCGACCGGAAAGTCATCTGGCAAGTCAACCAACAGGGTGGAACCGGAGTCAAGCAGTGAGGGCGAGGATGGTGAAGGTGAAGGTGAAAACGATGAAGCCCAATTACCGCCTTCCAAGCTGAAATCGACCGGAAAGCCTCGCAAAGCTGTCCAATCCATTCCGGTTAAAAAACTACCTGCCAAGTCAACCTGGAAAGTCATCTGGGAAGCCGACCGGAAGAGTGGAACCGGAGTCAAGTGGTGAGGATGAGAATGGGGATGAAGAAGGCGATGCTGAAGTCCAATCACCGCCCCCTGGAGCGTCAATCTATTGGAAAGCGAAGCAGAGCAGTCAGATTTCATTCGGAGGAAGATTCCGGCCCATCGGTCAAGAAATCTAAATCAAATGTCATTGGGCGCAACATACCACTGCAGGACGATGCTGGCACTCCTTCAGCAGAATCATCCAGCAATCATTCTACAGCCCCACTGCCTCCCAAAACTGCATCGAGAAGTAGCTTTGTTGGTCCTGCATCAGCCGGTCGATTGAAGAAGTCCGGTCAGAAGCAGAAGTCCGGTCAGAAGATACCTGCATCTAAATCAACGGCTCCTGCCACAACACAGGGCACTGGTAAGAAAACTCAAACAGATAGAGCTCACATTGATAAGCCCGAGCCAAAGCGCTCCACTAGAGCTTCAAAGGTGTCTTATAAAGTGAATTACATGCAAAGAGCGTAATAATCACATTTCATTGAATGTACTATACAAGGGGTTGGAAAGTATCAATGGTATATATATAGATGTCATGTCGACAGTCGGTATATTGATATAAGTTGAAATGCCAACAATAACTCACTAGTGGACTGAAGAACTTCCTCGCTGACAAGTGCTTCTTCCGGCGACATTGTACCATGAGCCCTTTCCATCTCCAACCAGTGTATTGCCAAGCGCAAGTCACCTTCAGCGCGCTGAATCACAAATCCCATAGGTTCCGGTTCTGAATGTACATGACACAATGTAACTCAATAAAATGATAAAACTCACCTGCCTGATCCGGAATATCAACCGGATCAATGCCGGAAGGCCTCTGGTCCGGATAATCATGAACCACAGGCGAATCAAAACCCATGTCTAAAGACCTCTGGTCCGGATCACGATGTTGAACCGGAGGTGAATCAAAGCCCATGTCCAAAGACATCTGGTCCGGATCACAATGTGGAACCGGTAAATCAAAGCCCATGTCCAAAGGTGTTTGGTCCGGATGACTATGTTGAACCGGTGAATGAAAGCCCATGTCCAAATCCAGATGACCGTGGTGAACCGGAGGTGAATTGAAACCCATGTCCAAAGGGCTGTCTTTCACCGAAATATCATTGACTGAATGATGATCATGAGTAATTCTGTTCCTTGCATAGTGATTCAACCAACATACCTGAGCCACCGGCCAGTCGATCGTTTGCCAGGAAGTTCGGAGAGCCGGTCGCCGGGTCCAGGAAATCATTGGTATTGAATGATGAATGGCCAGGTGGAAATCCCATGTCCAACTCGGATATAGGTGTGGCAATTGATGACTGGTTGGTATTGGACGAAGGAGGGAACCCCATATCCAATGGGTCTGACACCGGTTGACTTGGGAACCTGGTCGAAACCCATGTCTAATGACCGGCTGTCCTCCCACCAGTCCTGAGCCAATGCAACATCTAGGTCTAGAAGGCATCAATAATTAGGTGTATAGGTCAGCATGAGAGAACTTACAGTCGCCAATGTTTGGGCGATTCATCCCAAGGCTGTCGTGGTATGATTGGTCTGCACGTCCCGGTTCCAATTTGTCAAACACTGCCGGATGATGTGAGGCACCTTCCGGACAGGCAGTTAATTTATTACCTTTGGCCTCGCTAGATAGGTGTAAATAATCTGAGGACGAAATTCTTTTCCTCCTGCTGAATGAGTTGTCTAAATCTCACATGAATTTTTCAGCGATGCCGTGGCGACAATAGCATTCGCACAAGGACACATGGCAACTCCGGAGAAAAGAGAACCGGTACATTAATTGTTCATTCGGCAATATCCGAAATCACCCAAACATCCGGCAATTTTCAATTCTCAATTTCCTCATTCCCTTCCAGATCTCTTTTGAAAGCCAACCTGCTACCGTCGTTGTCTTACTGCTGATATGTCTTCCAACATTAGTCCTGCTGCTGCCACCACTGCCAACCAGGCACTCATTGCCCTTCTTGGCAGGTTGAATGAGATGGTTGAAGAGGTTCTCCGGTCCCGGTCAGAAGATGAGAGGATGAGGTTGAGCAGAGTCATTGCATCTCAAATGGTGCATTTGTCATTTTTTATGTATTGTGTCCATTAATATTATTAGAATGATGCCATTCACTCCTACCGGACGACGGCTACCTACATCTCCCTTCGCCTACTCTCTATGGCAGCTGAGATTCATAGAGCTCAGAGGGGTGCCACGCGATTGGTGCAAGTACCGGATTGGACTCGCGTTGGCAACAATGAGGACATTTGCCGAGGACATCCATTATACCCCAAGACATTGGGTCCTCCTCCCACTCATACAACCCCTACCTCCGCACCAGCACTTCCATCTGGCCCTCCACCGGCCCCGGTACTACCGGCTCCCAGCACAATCCGCATTCCTGGCAATGCAACATCTGGTGCCATCGCAGGCCCATCAAAACCATGTAAACGACAATTCAGCGCGAGTCCCCCACATCAGGTCAAGAGGGCCCAGAAGGCTATCCCCAAGTCGAAGCCACTGTTGACAGACACCGACACTGATGGCGATACAGTTCACATCAGCAAAGATAAGCCCAAGGCGAAGGGAAAAGGAAAGGCGAAGGCGAAGGCAAGGGCAGCATCACCGGATAGCGAAATCCGGCAAATGACGATGGAAGATGGCGATCATGATCAGGAAGTCATTGTAAGTTTCCGTTTCATACTTTAAACGCAACTCACAATAGCGGTCAGCTCCGTAATCCCAAACCAAATGTGGTCAAAAAGGTATGTTCATTTTTTCAATATCAAAACCGGCAATGTTATTGAGTTGTACAGAATTTACCTACCATTGTCATCACCACTAGGCCAAAGCCCCCTCCAGATGAGAAGAAGAAGGCCACTGATTCGGAGGAATACGAACCGGAGGAGGAGGAGGAGGAGGATGAAGACGATGCAATTGCGCCTTCTGGGACACGGGTCAAACCGGGCGAGGGATGATTACCAGTAAGTTTTTATATTATTTCACCTATCGTGAGTATGGCTAATATAATTATTATAATAGTCCAAGTCCGGTACAGATCATACCAAAACAGCCAAGGACAAGGCAAAGACCAGGGGCAAGCGTCCACAGCCGGTAAGACATCTGGTAACTCTCCACCGGTAGTGCTATACTAATCCTTCATAGAAACCCATTGGTGCGCCTCTCCTGCCATGCAGGAGATGCACAATTATGAAGGTGCAATGCGAAAGCTGGTTGACCAAAAGGGGCGAGGTCGCCCATACTTGCATTCTTTGCAGCAAGTAGGAGGATGAAATGCATCCAGCCGGATGATCCGGTCATACCGGCCACAGCCATAGTCACTCGCTCCAAGACGACCTGGAAAAACTAAGACCGTTGGGCAGTCCAAGAGGAAAGGCAAAGGCAAAGGCAAGTATCTTATTTCCGGTAGCATGTCTACTAATTGTATTCTTCTAGTCATCGAAACTCAGTGTCCCAGTCCTATTCCTGGAGGAACCGGATGTCGATGTTGATATGCCTGATGCCCCTGCACTCACCGGCACCGGTCATCCTGGCACTGCTACAGATGCAACCCCTGAGGTATCTGTTGATGATCTTTCGACGGATCGATGGATTCGAAGCCGCAGGATGACACCACCCTGCCCCCAGCACCATTTATAGAGACACCAGATGACATCCGGTACTCGCCGGTCTATCCTTCTCATACTCGAAGACCCGCCTCTCCTGTCGACATTTCTGTACCTCGTCAGACTCCCCAGCCCCGTTCTTTGACCAATGTGGAGATGGATGCCCTCCTGGCACAAATTCAGATCGACATGGATCAGCTCCGGACACGTGACGACATTATTCATGACGAGCTGTCCCATCGTATCGACCAGCTGCAAGCCAGCTTTACAAACGAATTTGCCTCCCAGAAGGGAGTGGTAGATCAGTTGACCTTTCAGGTCAGCGGTATCGCCCGGTACCTGAGGGACAACCACAGGGCCACCACAGCAGCCTGGTTCAACTCCACCAGCATTCAATCCGCCACCCATTGTCATCCCCGATACCCCCACATTCCCTGACTTTGGCTCAATCAGTGCCTTGGGTCATGCCATCACCAACAATGTCTTCACTCCGGATGTGTTTTCGACCAACACGTGTCCTGTCGGAGATGGCTCACCAGTCACCAGGCATGAGCAGGTACCAACACCCTCCACGTCTACCATCAACCCTGTCCCCACCATGGGGGAATCCGGTCCACACAGTCATCCGGTTAGTGCACTTCCAGTACCGGCCCCTACTGTCACAATGGCATCTATGCCCTCCAATACTACCCTTCGCACCATGCTCACCGGGCCACCACATCTGCTGGAAGATGGTCAGTCCCTTTCGGCTCCTTTGCCGACCTGGTCATTTGCACCTCAATCACGGCAACAAGGTCGGTCGGTGAGTGCTAGGCATGATAAGAACCCTTCTGGTGGTAGGGCCAAGTAATACCAGTACATGTAGTGTTTATTTTGTTGATAAGGACAATCTAATGTCATGGTAGAATGTACTAGATGGTGTATTCGATTGACCGGTTGATGTATGTAGTATACCGGCTGATGTGCTTGTGAAATGATGCATCGACCGGATAATGTAGCTACCGGATCATAGGCCAGTGAGATTATTGATGCACCTGCCGGATGATAATATGACCGGATCTCCGGTGTATATCATTCGTCTGGCTCGGTCGTTTCCATTTTACACCGGATTCGCTATTCGAGTAATTCCTGTAAGTCTATACTATATACCCCCGGCCCATCCGTTTACCTTGGGTACACATCTGGCCGGCCCACTCGTCTCCATCGTACACAGGATTTGATATTCATAATGTTATGTATACTAGTAAATTCATATATCACTATATATACTGTATGCTCTCGGCCCATTCGTATGTCTCGGGTACACAAATTCACTCAGCCCACTCATATGGTCGGCCCATCCGTTTACCTTGGGTACACACATCCGGCCGGCCCACTCGTCTCCATCATAAACAGGATTTGGTATTCATAATGTCATATATACTAGTATATTCCTATATCACTATCTATATTGAATGCTCTCAGCCCATCCGTATGCTTCGGGTACACAAATTCACTCAGCCCACTCATATGGTCGGCCCATCCATTTACCTTGGGTACACACATCCGGCCGGCCCACTCGTCTCCAATGTAAACAGGAATTAGCATTTATAATGTCTTATATTCTAATACATTCCTATACCACTGTCTATATAATGTACCCTCAGCCCATCCGTGTGTCTTGGGTACACACATTCACCCGGCCCACTCATATATCATGGTACAATTATGTCCATGGGCCCACATGGGATGGCCTGTTCCCAACAGTACATTGTCACACTCGGCTGTCCATCTGAGACGGAGTGAATTCACTGAAGGGGCTCTGAGAACTCACACATCACGGCAATTTGACCAGTATTCTCCATGAGCCATGTGACTCAAATCAATATCCAGGCCACTGGGTATCATCAATGCAGTCCCAGGGGAATAAAATAGTTGTTCTCAAGAAGCGGGCGGTACCCAGAAAAGTAGCCAATGATAGGCTCCTGTCATCCATCCATCTTTCGGCATGACAGGTTTCGCATTAAGTTGAGAGGTGTCCTCGAGTAGCTTAGTAGGGTCTTGTAGTGCATGTTCTGAGCTTGATGCGAAGAAAATGGTGCGATTGTTCCAAGTATTGGTTGACATGATAGTTTCACATTTGCAAGGTGCGGTGGGACGTCTGTCCAAAGAGAATGCGGAGGAGTAGATCTCATTGTGGTTCTGAAATTGCTGCTCTGTCACTGAATTCCACAGCCGAACAGTGGAATCGTATGAACTGGACACGATGTGAGATCCATCGAGTGAGAACGAGACAGACGAAACCGGATCAGTGTGCCCCACGAAGGGCTCACCCAATGGTAGCCCCATTGCTGCATCCCACAGCTGGACAGTGGAATCCCAAGACCCAGACACGATGCAAGCGCCATCAGGCGAGAATGAGACTGACAAAACCGAACTAGTGTGCCCTCGGAAGGGCTCACCCAATGGCAGCCCCATTGCTGCATCCCACAGCTGGATAGTGGAATCTTCTGAACCAGACACGATGTAAGTGCCATCGGGCGAGAACGAGACTGACAAAACCGGATCAGTGTGCCCTCGGAAGGGCTCACCCAATGGCAGCCCCGTTGCAGCATCCCACAGCTGGATAGTCGAATCTTCTGAACCAGACACGATGCGAGCGCCATCCGGCGAGAATGACAATGAGATTGATGAAACCGGACCAGTGTGCCCAGTTCACAAGACGTCCATGCATCAGACGAAGAGTATTCGGAAACCTTGCAGTAAACTTTGTAGCTATCGTGGACTTGATGGGGCAAAATGGCAATGCTGATACATACAGATGCGGCGTACTGTGCAAAATCATGCCACCAAAGACCTGAACGAATCTCTGCACATCCATCGCAGCAGACAAGACGCTTTCATATCCAGATTGGACCTGTGTTCGCGTGTAAGCACTTTGCCTGACACCACCAGGTGACTCTGTTCTCACCTTCAGCCACTGGGTAATGAGTGGAAGTACAGCGACTGCGCTGCTGAGTGCATTGAGGAGGCTGAGTGCTTCAATCCAGAAGAGTAGTCGCTCATTATCGAGGAATGATCCTATTTCCTTGGCGAGCTCGGGGTCAAAGTCCGTTGCTCGGACGTGCGTAGCCCAAAATCGACAGGAATATGACAGATGCAAGGGAATGCATGTAGTGATGTGCCGGGCCTGGCCCCAGGCCCTCAGGCCCTGGCCCACAGGCCCCCATAGGCCAGGCCCAAGCCAGGCCTACTTGATGGGCCTCATGAGGGCTTGGGCCTGGCCTGGGTGTCTCATAGGCCATGGCCTAGGGCTCAGGCCAGGGCTTCTACATAGTGAAGGAAAGTTCCGAAATGTACTGTACAATACTTAGATTACATAAACTTTGCAACAACCACATCCGCTGGAAGAAGTTGGCTGAACAACATACCCAGCCCAAGGATGACTCTCACAGTCATTTCTGATGATGACACAATTGCTGCCGTCACAGTCCGTTCTAAACGAACAATTATACCTTCTTCTCGACTTCTCGATTCCAATAATAGCGCAACACCCGAGTTAACTAGCCACAAGCAGGTACAGCGGTTGGTCCAACCAAACACCACTCTCATGACAAATCCGCGCAACGCCAAACGAAATGCAGACGACGCTGGCTGGAGTTCAACTCTCTCAAACCAGGATGAGGATTTGGACAATGAAGATGCCAACAAATCAGTATCCAAGGGTAAGTACTATCAATTTTTGTGCTGGTATGCTCACTGTCTGATTTTTGTAGCCAAGCGCCTTCGTCGAGCTGGTGAGCCATCCTTCACAGATGACGCTCGTTCGACGCATTCATTAAGCATGCACACAGGTAAGCACGCAAATCATTTCACTATTAAATTCTAATGCTACTACTAACTTCTTACTCTAGCGCACACAGGTACACATGAGGACTCCATAGATTGTGACATCAATGGCGATGGCGATGACGACAATGACAGCGACAACGGCTTCCTACAAGACCTCAATGTACAAGATATTGCTATTCTCGGAACAATTCGACGTGAGGAGAAAAGTCGGGACGTCAATGCATTCTTCGGCAAGTCCTATGCGCATAAGGCAAAGGATGGGAAGACACGGAATGTCCGAGACTGCAAAACTTGCAAGTACGTCCTTTTTTTTATTCTTCAAATCTTAACTCACAGAATTATAGGAAGAAGGGGTCACCCTCGCAAATAGTTAGCGACACGTCAACGTGTCGCCGTCACCTTGCATTTCGCCATGTGGTAAGTTTATTTCTTATCTGTTCTTGACATTTTCATCACACTTGCCATCAGGATGCTTACCGCAAGTGGTGCAAGGCCAATGAATTCGCGTCAATGCTACCTCAAGATATCAAGGAGCACAAGACTGCTGCCGCTATCGCAAATGCGCAGCAAACCAGTCTTGACAGCCACCTCAAAGAGATTCCCCCTCACAAGGCTGTTGTACCTTACACTGACGCACTATTTCACGATGCTGCCATTGAGTGGCTAATATCTACCAGTCAGGTATGTATTTATCGTGTGCGCTATGTGATTTAACATCTGTTTTGCAGCCTATACAAGCTGTAGACCACCCGAGCTTCAAGAACATGATTGATGTAGCTGCTCGTGCTACAAATGGTGTTATTTTACCGAATCGCAATGCTACACGCTGCGAAATTATGAATTTATTCAAGAAGCAGATGTCGAAATTAAAAGAATGCCTCAATGTAAGCTTCGCTTTTGATATCTTTAGTTAATCTCCCATACTAATGTTGCAAATAGAGCAAAATTGTGTCAGGTTTCATCAACTTAACATGTGATGCATGGCAGGCAAGTAATGTAGACGGCTATTTTGCTGTTACTGGTCACTGGATCAAAGAAGCATTGCCTGGTATCTGGCAGCTTGAATGTGCCGTTCTTGGCTTCACGCAACTCAACAACTCCCACAATGGCCAACGCCTTGGGCAAGCATTGTTCAAAATTGTGGATTGGGTAGGCATTGCTCATAAGGTAAGATATAGTCTTAGTATCGTGTCGCGTCGTGCTCATGCAGTGTTAGATTGGCCATGTTACATGCGATAATGCTTCTAACAATGATACTATGCTTGATGAATTTGCATTTCGGATCAAGCAAGGGACAGGGAGAACATGGATCTCCAAAAAGCAACGCATCAGGTATAGTTGTCTCATTTTTTACTTTGTTCTGTGTACTGACTTGAACTCATAGGTGTTTAGCTCACATCATTCATCTCGCAACAAGGGCTGTCATCTCCACATATAGCAGTGCACCATACTACACTCCCGAGCACCCTGACTTGTGCATTCCCCAAGAATATGGCTGCCGTGATGAAGTTGGCCTCGTGCGAGCCATTGCAGTCAAGGTTCATCATGTGTAGATGTCAAGTTTGTGTCGCTAACTATACTAGGCTCGATCATCTGCTCAATGAAAGCAACTTTGGCAGGACATTCAGACTCGTCTGCCTAATCCAAGCCCTGTTGTCTCACAACTATTGCTCGACATGCCCATTCGATGGTCCTCGACTTATGTCATGCTTGATCGTGCTGAGAAGAAGCGGCCAGTGAGTATTATAAGATATAATTGCAAGCCATTGCTAACCATCCTCTAGTATGTTGATACCTTTGTATATGAGCTTGGCCTTCGTGAGGCTAACCTCACGAAATGGGCTAAAATTGATCAGTTGAAGCTGCGTGAAGATGAGTGGACTCATATTACATCATTTACATCCCTTCTGGCTGTTCATAGTTTGAGTTTGATTTATTTCATTGATGAAGCTGACTACTACGACATTACTTTAGCATGCTGATAGAGCTCAGCAAAGCTTTTCATCAGATAGAGGAGCATCTCTTCATCTTGCTTTGCCAGCTCTCAAGGCGCTACACAAGGCATGGACGACACGTTCAGAGAGTCCCAAGTACGAGCCGTTTCACCATGCCTTGCGGCAAGGTGTTGCGAAAATTAAGGAGTATTATGAGCGAAGTGCCGATAGTGATGCATACATAATGGCTATGTGTACGTGACAACCATCCTCACTGACTTAAATTCACAGTTGTCTTTAGTGCTTGACCCGTCGCAGAAGGACTCTCACATCAACCGCTTCTGGGGTAAACAGATGCATGCCATGGCTCTCAAGGAAGCAGAACGAATGGTGAGTCTTCTGTGTTTTCAAGAGAATACGTGCAATATACTTATACATAGTCTAGTTTAAGGAGGAACATATCAAGTTGTATGGCGAGCATGGAGTCCCAGTATCATCAAAGAAGAAGTCTACTAGTAAGGTACTGTTACTGTTTTGAGAGCTTTCTAGTGATGAGGAGAGTGGTGATGATGTGGTGGAAGAGTCGGAGGTGGATCCACAGTCACAGTTGCCATGGTTGAGGGAGTTTTACCTCTACCTTAACTCGCTCACTTCAGTTCCAAATAACATGTCTATTATCCAATGGTGGGGGGTAAGGTATCATTTTATGTGAACTGAACCATAACTGATGCTGCTTCACACTATAGGTCAATGCCCAACAGTATCCTGTATGGGCTTCACTTGCTCGTGATCATTTGTCTGTTATGGCCACTTTGGTTTCAAGTGAGCGAGCATTCTCTGCAGCAGCTCTGACAATTACGAAGCGCCGCAACCGCTTGAAGGGTGACATTGTTGAGGCAACTCAGGTGCTTCGTATGATGTATCAACGTGATCTAATCTTCCGAGAGGCTGCTCCTTCTTCAGCTCTAGAGTTAGCATTGGAGGAACTTGATGAAGGAGAGGAGAATGGTGGTGATAGCAATATCTTGCTGTCCGAGGAATCAGATGTAGAGGAATGAGTTTCTAATTCATTAGGGTAGTATCATAATAAAACTGTTTACACATTTTTACACCTGAGGCCCTGGCTCAGGCCCAGGCCAAGCCCAAGCCCTCCAGAAGGGCCTGGCCTGAGTTTTTTCCAGGCCCGAGCCCTGGCTTTCAGGCCAAGCCAGGCCCGATGCATCACTAAATGCGTGTTGCGACTTTATCTGACAGCTGTTACGCTGACCGTTGGTTGGCGTGTGTGAACTAGGATAGGTCTTCTCAGCGACGACTCGAGTGAGTCTACTGAAGCTGAGGGTGGTTCTCGGCTTGACGGAACGTCAAGGGTTCCTCCGGCGATCTCGGTAAGACAGCGCTCGTCGAGATGCAGGGCTAGCGGATACGTGCTAAGTCGTAAGGGGGCGACTTAGAAGTGTGGTCTCACACAAGGAAGCTGGTAAGACTTAGTTGAGCAAGTTCTGGGGATGAACCTAGTAGATTAAAGTAAAGTCTAAGTACAATAATCCTGTCTACTTATAGGGAAGTACTACAAGTATTCTAGCTCAGTCTGTAATCAATAGTATATCTAGGATCTATGATAACAAGACATGAGGTTCAGATAAGTACATGAGGCTTAACCTCTGATCAAGCATGCAGCGCCAAGTGCGACTGCGCATAGGTACATGAGGCGCCAAGGGCGCTCCGGATCTTCATGAAGCGACATGCTGTATACATGTGCTGATCTAGGGTGACCATGAGGCGTACAGCCTCCATGGATCAGGTACAAGGCCGTCTAGGCCAGGGGCGGGGTCATAGCACCAGGGGCGGCATTATAGCGGTCCAGACTGCTATCTTTCTAGGCGCGGGTGGCGCACCGCCGCGCGGGGAGTCTAGCAGAGCGGGGGTAGGCGTAGGCAGAGCAGGGGGTCCTGTAGGTGTTACGGATGCCTGTAACAACAGCCCGATGTCTTTGCTGTTGGGGAGGTATGAAGACTTTAAATTACACATATTGAAGCGAAGATCTTGTTCCATCACTCGAAGTGACGCAAACGCAAGATCATGTTGCGATTTCGAGATTTCCAGGAAAAAATCTCCGCTGGATGATTTGTCTGTCAGGAATTCGCGGAAGGATGCGTGAAGGGGTCGGATGGGACTAGATGGGTTGGTGATGCCACTTAGGAGAGATCCCATACGTTCTATCACAACCTCCACTTTGTAATGCTCTCTTTGGTCTGGAAAACGGCTCCGCATGGCATTCAGGGCATCTAAAGGGAGGGGTTTGGCTGAGCCGAGTACTTGTCCCATCACGGAATGAAACTTCGCCAGCACTTGCTGATACTCGGTTCTTGTGTATCTGTCCTTTCCCATGTTTTCTGCTAAGATGACGCGATAAAGATCATACAACAAATTTTTCCGCTCTCCATGATCGTGGGTCACCACAGCATTGAAGCAATCAATTGGGTATGAGCCAAAAGGGGTTTCCTGGATGTATCTGCATGCAAGACGGGCCCACTCGAATAGTCCATCACTTTTGTCAGCAAGGACTGCAAATTCTTTGTTTCCAAGACCAGACACCTTTTTCAGCTTGTAGGACACAAATGTATGGATGTCTCTCTTCGAGTCTTTTTCTGAGATGTCGTCCATGGATAACCGTTGAATATGTGGAGCATCCTGAAATTCAGAATTGATATCAGGAAGGGCGCGAGAGGTAACAAGAATCTGAAAGTTGGATGGGAGTTCGGTGATTTTGGGAAGACCTTCGCCCTCCAGTGTACCCGCAAGTATGCGGAGAAGGTTACGCCGTGTCGCGACTTCGCCGCTCTTGTCCAGCGCTTCTATCACAATCAAGACAGGCCCCACACTCGACCTGGAACACTTTTTCAACGGTTCCATAAACAGCTTGCGCCACTGCTGGATGATATCACTCGTGTTCTTGAGCGCATTTTCATGTTCGACTGCATTCGCTAATGTTCATCTCATCTCCGGATCACGGTCAGCGAGGTCACGAGCGATAGTGGAGAAGACTTTTTCATGATGTCTGTTGGCTTCCCGGTGCTGGTCGAAGCAGAAACACGAACCAAGCCCACCCGCGTCGTTGAACCACTTAGCAATCGTGTGAGCAATGTATGATTTGCCCGTTCCCGCAGGGCCAGATAGCCACAGTACACGCTGAGCAGTATCTCCACTGACATTGATCCATTCAGTGATCTGGGAGAGAATGCTTGTGCGTGTCCCTGATATGCATTGTTCCGCGGTATTCAGGCCCGCGCCTGCTGCGTAAGGCATACCACTGAGATCCGGTCTGTCACCCAGTTCGTCACCTGAAGGGTTTTGAGTGAACGGAAAGTCAGAAGAACTTCCAAATTCTTACTCTTATACCGGACAAGATCGGCTTGGTCCCGGAGAGCTTGGTCCCGAAATTGTTGCATAAGCTCGTTCAAAGCCTTGTTGTACCGTGAGATCAGATCGTCCGTCTCCGAGGCAACATTTTTCCCTAGTCTCTTCCCTGTGATAACAACATGAGATTCACAACATGGGAGGTGCAATAGCTGGAAGACTCACAAAAGCTCTTTTTCTCCGAATAATCCCTGATGAAACATGCGCACTCCATAGTCTGCTGGGTGATTCGTCCAGCGATACTATGCTTGGATGAAATTTGGCCAAGAGTGTCATCTTGTGACATGAAGCCGTAAACTTGTTCCAATTTCTCGAGAAGAGATTGTACCGATTGGTCGTGTTCCGTCTGAGCGAGAATGATCTGCATAGAGTCAACGACTGCTGAACAGGAGGGTAACACTACACGTACTTTGGATGCAGCAGACAGCATACCCAGCACCATCTTTGCGTAAGGATGTACCTATGCAACTTGATTAGCTCGCTTCTGTTACAAGTAACATCGGTCACGTGGCCCCCCTATCATTTTCCCTTCATCCTCGCCCTCACCATCTACTGGCTCATCCTCCTTTACTGCCTTTCCATTGACCGGATCCTCGGGACCGTTCCCATCCCTCGCATCGCCCACCTCTATGCACGTGCACGCACGTTCCTCCTCTGATTCAACCACCAATGTGGTCCCGCACCTATGACTCGGTCTGACTCGTGCCACCAATGTGGCTTTCCTCTTTCTGTTCCCTCTGACTGCGGATTCCCGCACGTTGTATTCTTACCGTTGGTTCGTTCCAACGTTTCTCGGTCTCATTCCACATTCGACCACCCACCACTAATCCGGCTATGTTGCCAACGCACCTATACCATTCTCGTTTCCCCTTTACCCTTACCTACTGTGCGGTAGCCTTGCCCTTAACCCTCTCCACTTAGTATAAGTAGTCGGTCACCCTGTACTAGATTCTCTAACTTGAATCTACTCAATCTTCCCTGGAACATACTTCCCTCTGAACGCCCCTTTGGCTTCAGTCTCTAGTATCTTTTCTTAGTTGCTCATCGCGACTAAGTCTACCTCGATCGACCTCATCGTTCGGACAAGACTGTCCTTACCTTGAGCGACTTCTAAGACATCTGTCTCAGAAGTCACGTGACACGCGCGTACTGTGATCACTGCCGACTCGTCGTCGCCAGTCTCACTTGCTATACCGGATCCTTCCGGTTACGTCACGAACGTTAGCGGACGACGCCCCTCTTAGGGCTCCGCCTAACAGATCTATTTGAGTGCGTAACAGCTTCCAATCAAGAAGAGCGGCCCATACATTCGCAGGATCCTCGATGACAGTGTCAAAATTTTTGAGTGATTGAAGATGGGTGGTCAGGAAATCGTCTGCGGCAGTGAGACCTTTTGGCCCATTCTCGGCTGTGGATACTGCAGAAGTGACATGTCCCCCAAGTAGTCTCATACTTTCCATACCTTCATGGGCACCCCGAAATTCAGCATCAATTGATTGGGGATCCAGAATCTCTTCCACGCCAAGAGGGGCGTCGAGGACCTGCACAACCACCAAAATTAGAGATGAAAACTAGATCGTTTGGCGTAAATACCTTCAAAGCAGACTCTCCGGACACTCCTTCATTCACACAGCCCTTTAGATTTTCAGATGTGGTGGGCTTGTCGCCATTGGAAGGTAGACACGACGCATCCTTGGTAGTCCCTCAGACAAGTCCAAGATCGAAATAATGACTACTTACTTCGATATTCTGATTCGATGAAGCACCTTCATGATCGGTGTTCTGGACTGCAGGGATTTGACGGCGGGAACGCTTGAAGCGTTTCTGCACAACATCAGCTATATTCTGGCTCCTTCAGCATTCAGGCAGACGTACAGAAACTTTTTTAGTCACATTCTTCTTAACTTTCCGCAGGGCCTGACGGAGACCGCAGCCGCTACGGTGCTGGCTCTGGACGAAAGATGCGTGAGAGGCAGTGACGATGTCATTAGCGCTTGTCGGCAGTGATGTCATTAGGGCACGTACCGAGCTCTCACCAGCAGTTACAGTTGCTTCTCTGGATTCATTGGCCTCTGGAGGAGGTTCCTGCCTGTGGTCTTCGCTCATTGAGAACAGTCAAAAATTAGGATCAGTCTGAAGAAAATGGATGCGAGGATTAGAGGGAAGGGAGAGTACTCGGTAGGACCAAAGTTTAAATAACAAGCACCTAATGTTACGCTGACTGTAGGTCGGCGTGTGCGAACTAGGATAGGTCTTCTCAGCGACGACTCGAGTGAGTCTACTGAAGCTGAGCGTGGTCTAGCCTTGACGGAACGTCAAGGATTCCTCCGGCGATCTCGGTAAGACGGCGCTCGTCGAGATGCAGGGCTAGCGGATACGTGCTAAGTCATATGGGGGCGACTTAGAAGTGCGGTCTCACACAAGGAAGCTGGTAAGCTTAGATGAGCAAGTTCTGGGGATGAACCTAGTAGATTAAAGTGAAGTTAATCTACAACAATGTATCTACTCTTATAGGGTTTAGCTATAGGTATTCTAGCTCAGTCTGTAATCTATAGTATATTGGTAATCTAAGATAACTAGACATGAGGAGAGATAGTATACACGAGGCTTAGCCTCTGATCATACATGCAGCGCCAAGTGCGACTGCGCAATCAACATAAGGCGCGTAGAAGCGCTCCGGATCTTCATGAAGCGACATGCTGTATACATGCGCTGATCTAGGGTGTCCATGAGGCGTACAGCCTCCATGGAACAGGTACAAGGCCGTCTAGGCCAGGGGCGGGGTCATAGCGCCAGGGGGCGGGGTCATAGCGGTCCAGACCGCTGTCTTTCTAGGCGCAGGCGGCGCACCGCCGCGCGGGGAGTCTAGCAGAGCGGGGGCAGGCGTAGGGAGAGCTGGGGCTCTAGTAGGTGTTACAGATCCCTGTAACACCTAAAGGCCACAAGCCTCAAGGCAGCCAGCCCAGCGGCCACGTTCAAGTCAATAGTAATGGAATGTGGTTCGTACAAAGGCTATTAAGGAAACTTTAGTATCGTTCATCATGCAACAAGCTTGATATACAACATATGTATGGTTTGTGTATGGTACACCGAAAGTTACATCACAATCACCAGGCTGAACTTTGGTAGTATGGAAAGCGGGAGTGCTACTAGTACTAGTTTGCGCTATACATATAGGCTCCGCTTAAGGTGTTCTCCTGGAGGCTGTTATGTACGCCTCGGGCTCGGCCAGAATACCCCGTTGGAAATTGCCGTCTTCGGTAGTCACGTGCGTAATAAGGTTCTCTACATTAATCTAGGCCAAGGCCTCGGCGTCGAGACAGTGGCAGCGGGGTAGTACTTCAGTCTCAGCAATCGCTAAGACCTGCTTGTGGAAGCAATGGAGTTGAATGACCCGCCTCCTGCGGTATGTCCCAAATCACTGGGTACCTATGACGTAGGCCCTTATCATCGTGCCAAACCCAGGATCTGGACCCCGATCAGAACTTCAGAAGTTGTGCCTTTAGTGGTCTAAATACAGCGGCGCTGCGCAGGTTCCTCGATAAGGAGACGCGACCAAGCGGAGGCTCAGAACATCCCATTAATTGTGCCGCGATGATTTACCTTGCGAAGCAAGGTCATGTTGGATGGCACATAATCTGTCAGTCACCTGACGTGAACATCATGCTGTGCGATAATCGAAAATGATAGAACTGCGTCAATATGAATACACAAAACTACTTCATAAAGTATCCAATTAGTTACTCAGATCTCAGAACTTGGTCTCGATGAAATAGCTCGGTCTCGATGTCAGAATACAAATACAGTCAAGCTCAAAGCTCGGTCTCGATGACACAATACAGATACAGATACAGTCCAAATATGAGGTGAACTTCAACGATGGCATAGCACCTCTCTTGAGGTATATCGATGTTTGGTCCGAGACTATGCTAGTTAGACAACAATGAGAATTGTCAGAAGTGCGTGGCTTACCTATCCGGTGCGAAAGTCCACCTAGCACGAGCTCGATCCCAAACGAGCTGTTTTCAGTCACAAAGATTGATGACGAGGCAAAAGGAATGTGAGGGAAACAAAAACACCCAAGGATAGGATGAACTGAGAGAGACCACATGCCTCATCAACACGGATACAAAGTTGGCCCTGTGTCTCGTCAGGCGCAAGCAAGGAAGAAGGTATGAGAGCCAACGATCAGTAAACGTCAGCGCGAGGCAACATGACTAGAGAGAACACATGGAGCTACATGCACAAAACGTTTCAGCAGATGCAAAAATCACAGGATGATATAGTGAGGATGGTAGAGCGCGTGAACCATCAACCTAATCATGATGCTCGAGAGTCGAGGCCGCATTGGTCTATTTGGATTTGTTGAACTTTCGTACATTTTGCGTGCTGCTACGATGTTTTAATCGGCTTATCGAACGTGCTCAAAAGGCATTAGGACCAAGCTGAAGACGACATCGAATATGCTAAAGGCCAACCTATTAATTGGCTGAAAAAAAATACTTATCGCAGTGATAACGAAAAACAAGCAGACTTAGGACTGCCGTCACGCAGATTCGGGGGTCCGAAAACGACGAGTGTTGGAAGAGGTCGACAAAGCCGATTCCCACGAATTAAACATTCTCCGGAGCAAGGTCATAAGTTCGCACAGCGAACCCCTAGTGTATTAGGGGGGAACATTGTGAACTGGCAGTCGATCTTCAGAGCTTCAAGCTTCACTTAAGCTTCAGGGTTAGGCTATCATACCTTATGTGTCCATTTTATTCATCGTGTTGACGACCTCGCATACTTCACGTACTGTTGTGCTTCCATACTAGGCCTTGACACTATTTCTATAATGATAAGTTAATAACGCCATTGCAGTCAAGTGGTTCTTCTGTTCTTCTGTTCTTCTGTTCTTCTGTTCTTCCGTCCTTCTGTTCTTCGAATGTTCTTCCCTTCTTCTGAATTCTTAATAGTCGCGCGCGGACTACGGAAACGAGAATGTAGCTCCACTGTAATCCGAGGGTGTTTAGGTGTACAAGGACCCGACGTGGTACAGGTAACAGACGTAGACCTAACTATGTAGACTGAGTCGACGTAACCCGAGACCAACCCGAGAAGAATATTGCTGCAGATATGATACTCATACTGGTCCGTAATCTAATTATAAGATGCAGTGCCTAAGTCATTCGCCACTAGTACTGATCTGGCAAGTGGTACTGGCCCGAATTTCATTACTGTGGTCGCTAAGCTTCGCTAACCGGTGTTCTTCCACCCACGTTTTGTCTGCTAAAAATAAAATTCAAAACTATTGCCTCGAGGCTGCCAGCACTGAGGGACCCATCCTTTCTCCAACTTCTTGTTGCACCCTGCTTCGCTCAGACTGATCACTATTCACCATGATTGACGACAATCAATTGAGAAACTCAAGCTCAGTTCCGCTTCCAGACATCGAGACATGTAACGAAACAAATACTGCCGCTGAGCGCCTGGTATGTGGCTGATGTTCATGTAGTTGCACCAAAAATGCTGACTCTCGTCAATACGTCCTGAACTATCCTTTGTCTAGGGCCGACCCCGCGGTAAAATCTGTCGGTTTCTGGGGAATGTTACGAATAATGTAATGAAGAAAATTTCTGTGAGTCGGAATCAACACCGAGTGTACTGGGATGAGATTAATATCCTACTACACAAGCGCTCGAACTTGAAGGATTCACGTGACCATGTTCTTGATCGTGAAGGTACCTCATTGGTTCCGAATATCGAGGTAGATCACCTTTCAGTTTATGCACTCTTCGTAAATTCTGTTGTCCATTCAGGCTCAGGATACTCCCGCGAAGGATTCACGCAGCCGTGACCCTGTTCTTCCAAACGTCGATTGTGAAGGTGCCTCATCAGCTCTGAAGATCGAGGTAGGCCTTTCAGTTTATGCACCTTCCATAGATTATGTCGTTCACGCAAATTCAGGATACCTCTTTAGGCATGGACCAGTATGCCGATCTTCAGTCGGCACTTGAAGATACCAACAAGGCCGCCAAAGATATGAATCTACTGTCAGGACCTATGAAATCTGGAATATCCATCGCACAAAATGCACCAGCAGATCTCGAGGATGCATATAGTTTTGAGGACACATATCTTCAACCTCTCAGGATGTTTGACACTGTTATTGACGCGCTTGCGAATGTATGAACCATGACTCTCGATTGGAACCAAAATAATCGTATTTATAGGTACATCCATACGCAAAGATAGCACTGAGCGTGTTGTCCGGAGCGGCAAAAGTATGTTTGGTTTCACCTTCATTCATATCTTCTGCTCAGTCGTATGTACAGATAATTCTTACTCAAGCATCTCGCGATAAAGCGGTATTCAGCCTTCTCAAGAAGTTGGGTGATGTTTATCGTTGCATCTCAGACTACAAGAGGCTTAGCCAGATTTCTTCGATGCATGAGACGGTCCTTGGAATTATTTCACAACAGATCCTTGAGTGTGCCCAATTTATCAGAGATTATGCGAAGATCAAGAGCTATTGTAAGTCCTTAACAAGTCGCTGCACCTTTTGCGGTCTCAACCGTCTACCATTATCATAGGGAAGAGATTGGGAAAGAACCTCGTTCGAGAAAAAACAAATGATGCGATTCGACAATACAGTGAAGTATTGGATAACCTCATGAACAATTTCCAGAAGCAAGTCACTTTCGACACGAACATCCATGTCCATCGTATAGGTGAGGATTTGCATGTGTTTTGCATTCGACATCTATTGATAGCCTTCAGACGACACAGTGCAGCTCAGTGGTATAACTTATGCGGAAGGCGCTGGGCTAAATACCGATAAACAATGCCTACCTAAGACGCGCAAGACAATTCTCTCCCGGATCACAGACTGGGCCAATAGCACTGGAGGCGATGGTTCACGTGTGCTATGGCTGTCTGGCCCTGCAGGCACGGGTAAATCAGCCATCGCTCACACGATTGCTAAGTGGTTCAAGGACGCGGGTGGGCTTGGTTCATGTTATTGTTTTGACCGCCAGCAAAAAGCCGACAACCGCCATCAAAAGATCTTTTCTACCATTGCACGCGACCTGGCTGACCGTGATCCGGAGATGAAACGAGCATTGGCCAAAGCAATTGAAGACGAATCGTTGAAGAAGACGCTAGATATCATCCAGCAGTGGGACGAACTTCTCATGAAACCACTAGGGAAGCTCTCTGATATAACTAGAAGACCTGTCGTCATAGTGATAGACGCATTGGACGAGAGCGGTGCAGTCGAAACACGGCGTAACATTCTTCGCATTCTTGCGGGTGAACCAGTGGGCAATCAACTCATCACCACACTTCCGGCCAACTTGCGGATCATCGTCACTTCTCGCCCACTTCCCGATATCGATGATCAGCTTGGCAATGCTCCGCATATCCGAAAGATGTCCATGGACGCTATTCCACCGACAGAAACGAAGGACGACATCCGTGCTTATATATCAGATAAGCTGTCGAAATTTCGGGATGAACAGATTGCGGCTCTTGCTGAGAAGGCAGATGGGCTTTTCGAATGGGCGCGTCTTGCCTGTGAATATATTATGGATACCCTTTCCGGTTCATCCCAAATGGAGCGCTTCGATGCCCTCATGACCCTTGAGCCCGAGGAGCGGAAATATTTGTTGTATGATACTTATGACTTGATTTTGGCAGAACTCATGGCACGGGACAAGTATACACCAGCCAGTTATCAACGCGCACTAGCAAGGTTTCGGTCCGTGATGGGACAGATACTATGCGTAGCCAAACCCCTCCCTTTAGCTTCCTTGAATGATATGCGGAACCATTTTCCAGATCAAGATGACCATTACAAAGTTGAGCTGGTAGTCAGGGACATGGGTCCGCTACTCAGTGGCACCATCAGCCTACAATTCCCCATCCGACCCCTTCACGCGTCCTTCAGCGAATTCTTGGTAGGCCCATCCTGCAAGCAAGATTTCCGCATCGACGTATCAAAGGTGCAACGTGACCTCGCTTTTGCGTCACTTCATGCGATGGAAGATCTTCGCTTCAATATCTGTGGTTTCAAGTCATCATACATTCCTAATTACGAGGATCCCGAGCTGCAAGAACGAGTTGAAATTTTTTCCCCGTATCTGTCCTACTCCTGTCAATTCTGGGCTTCGCACGTAGAACGAGTGAAGTTCGACTCGCAACTCGCAAGCGAAATAAAATCATTTCTCAACCACGAACGATTACTATTCTGGCTTGAAGTGCTTAGCTTCATAAATGCATTCAACGGCGCAGTTACCTCCCTTGGAATCATTACTCAGTGGCTGGACGTGAGCTTATAAATATTTGTTGTCAGACAAAGTGCTCATCCACAATCACAGAATCGTTCGGAATATGGGAATGTCTTGTCCACTGTAAAGGATGTAAAGACATTCATTGAAACTTTCAGCGACATCATCTTGCACAGCACACCGCATCTCTATATATCAGCACTCCCTTTCTCCCCCGCCAAATCTGAGATATTCAGAAAGTTGGCTGTCAAATTTTCAAACACTCTTAGTTTGACTTCTGGACGTGCTTTGGATTGGATGGCCATTCAGAGCAAACTTAGCGGGTATACAGTTGGGGTGGAGTCAGTCTCATTCTCTCCTGATGGGACTCACGTTGTGACCGGTTTGTTGGATGGTACACTCCTTCTATGGGATATGTCGACGGGGCAGCCAGTTATTGCGCCCATGCGGGGGCACACTGGCCGTATTTTGTCAGTCGCATTCTCCCCAAATGGCACTCACATCGTGTCTGGTTCGGCCGATAACACGGTCCGGCTCTGGGATGTAGCGACGGGCCAGCCACTTGGTGAACCCCTGCGAGGGCACACTAGTTCAGTTTCATCAGTATCGTTCTCCCCAGATAGCACTCGCATCGCGTCTGGTTCGGCCGATCACACGGTCCGGCTCTGGGATGCAGCCACGGGCCGGCCAGTTGGTAGGCCATTACAGGGGCACACTAGTTCAGTTTCATCGGTATCGTTCTCCCCAGATGGCACTCGCATCGCATCTGGTTCGGACGATAACACGGTCCGGCTCTGGGATGCAGCCACGGGCCGGCCAGTTGGTAGGCCATTACAGGGGCACACTAGTTCAGTTTCATCGGTATCGTTCTCCCCAGATGGCACTCGCATCGCATCTGGTTCGGACGATAACACGGTCCGGCTCTGGGATGCAGCCACGGGCCAGCCAGTTGGTAGGCCATTACAGGGGCACACTAGTTCAGTTTCATCGGTATCGTTCTCCCCAGATGGCACTCGCATCGCATCTGGTTCGGACGATAACACGGTCCGGCTCTGGGATCTAGAGACGGGCCAGCCAGTTGGCGAGCCATTAGAGGGGCACACTAGTTCAGTTTCGTCAGTCCATTTCTCCCAAGATGCCACTCGCATCGTGTCCGGTTCGAAAGATGGCACTGTCCGCCTCTGGTATCCGTCCATCTCTCAGGCCGATCAATCCATTTGTTTCTCGTCCAACTCAATACACGCACTGTACAACCCTGCTGAGCTAATTGGGGGTAGCCGCCACACATCCTTTTTGCTGGGAGTTGACGGATGGATGATAGGACCTGATCGGCAACTCCTGTTCTGGGTACCACCCGGTCTCCGAGAGCCATTTTATACACCCAGGACTGCTTTGGTGCTACCCAAAGGAAATGTTGAGCTTGATTTGAGCCGCATGGCACATGGAGAACGCTGGAGTGATTGCCGATCGAGATGAGTGAGTTCTAACCTTTATCGTCTGTCGCAGTTAGTAAAACGCATACTTCTTAGAAGCCGTACTGAAGGATGATTTGTTCTGGCAATCGAAATATCCAGTCTACAGTTCAATCCCTTGTGTAATTTATAACCTGGCACTGGTCTCGAGATACTGCTGCTAGTTCGTGAGACTCGTACTTATGTTGGGGTGGCATACCGATCACGGGCAAAAAGATGTATTCACTGGAACGTCTCGAGTACAGTCCATAGTATATGTAATGACTTTGATTTTGATTTTGATTTTGTTGTCCTTGTTCTATGGTACATCATTAGATAGCGAAGGTACCATGAAGTTTTCCCGCAATGGACTGGTAACCGCTGAACGTTGAACGTCTGCGAGGCAAACCGTCGAAAGGCAGTCTGATCATCAGTGTAGAAATCTGACACGAATAGAAACGGTACGTCAGCACGCTCCAAGCGCCATCGAGGAGGCATCCTCAGTCTGCCATGATACCATCACGAATAATAGAAGAGAAACACTTTGCACCAATGCACATCTGGAAGCGAATCAATGGCACATGTGTCAGTTTCCTGCAGCACGGTAGCCTGTTGGTTAGATGACTGCCGGGTATCATCTACTTTCTTGTATTCCGGTAGTTTGGCAGCAACAAGCCGCTGTATGGCACAAATGAGCAAAAGGTACCACAAAGTAAGAAAATGTACGTTAGTGACTTTTCGTCCTGGTGCAACTTCAACGATTGGTGGCCCGAGGTTGTGTCTTGGCACGAAAGAAGAAAGATACGACAGTAGGAACTGCATGATTCTGTTCGAGGAATGAGGTAGAGAACTTATTTCGAACTGGATACGCACTCGGTCAGGCATTGCGAGTATACTATAGATATTGAAGACTGACATGGCCAAATCGAGTTGGGGCGTGACCCGAGAGAGAGGGTGGTAAAGGCAATATTAATGTAGCAGGGACCTATTGTGCCACCATGGAGTCAACTGTCAAAGAACCGATATATAAGAGTTACGACCTACATCCAGGGGATCACGAGGTTGGATATGATGAACATGAGAAACTGAGGTGAGACGCGAAAGAACTGTCGGAGGCGAAGGAAAGTGGGTTGCTCGTAGGTGGAGGTCTCCGCGACATAGGTATGGCGGATATTGGTTGTCTGCGGTGCCCAGCAGGAGGACGACGAGTTATATCAGACTGCAATGGTGATGGATGAGTAGTGGAATGAGCAAAATATGAGACACGCACATTCAGTAGATCATTGCGGGCTGATATTTTGCATGTACTACATGTCTGTAAGAGAATGTCAGCATACGAACAATAGATGGTTGCGGGGAATACATACACTGGCATGAGCAAGGAGACGTCGGGTGGAGTATCACAGATGCAGATCTTGTAATCATCTTTTCCAGTATTTGTCGTGTAAGCTAGCTGGCGTGAGTTGGGTGAGACGACAAGGGCGCTAGGTTTCTGAACGTTGAAGGAAGCGAGGAATTGGCGTGACTCGTAATCCCAGATCTTGATGGTATTATCGAAGGAAACGCTAGCAAGGAGAGCATGGTCAAATGCATAAAGTGCTATGCCGGTGATAATTTCGGTGTGCCCTTCGAAGGGAGCTCCGACAGTCTCCAGCGTCGACGCGTCGAACTGCCATCGTCATTTCCGGTGAACCTACGATGTGTTTGTTTTTGTTTGTCCAAAACATTATTCCATTATGAGAGTTCCCAATCCTGACATCCAATTTCTGTTTGTTGACACTCCAGACTTCAAGGCACCTCCCAACCAACGACTTGACTGCGAGCTTCTTCGAGTCTGTTGAGAATTGAACTGCACCCACTGCATCGATGCTCTTAAATGGACCAGCTACGAGTTTGCCAGTGTCCAGGTTCCGCTGTTTCATCTTTTGATCCACTCGCCAGCAGCTTGCTATCCGCACAGATATCAATGCAAAAGATCCTCCGTGAGTGTCCTTTGAATGTTTTCACGATCCCAGTCCTAACCTCATAGGCTTTCAGCTCAGCCCTATTCCAATCTCCACCACCAGTGACAACCCATCGGCCATCCCTTGATACTGCCACTGCCCCTACCTCAGCCTCACAGACATCCGCGCTTTCTCGATCTCCTTACTTGCCTTCAAATCCCATTGCCGGGCGGTCTTATCGTCAGATCCGCTGATCATTCGCTGGCCACCTGGGAAGTAGGATACGGACGGATCGAATCAAGTTTCCATGGCCTTTCAAGGTCATTGACGGTGTCGGATTCGATTTCGTAGGGGCTGCATTCGTCGACGCGCAAGCCATGGTTGTGTCTCCGTCAGCGAAACCATGAAGTATTCGAGTACAGCAAGGTATTCTGTGGAAGCGTTGAAAGGTGAGGTCTCCCGGCACCGCGTCAGCATGCCGTATAACTGACATTGTTAGCAATTCGAAGATGGGACTCCTAGTAAAGCCAAACGTCAGTCCATCTGCATTGTAAATACAGATGAGAACTTGATGTTACCGAGAGGCAACGATGAACTGGAAGAACGATGAATCCTTGAACGTGAGTACAACTATTAGCCTTGAGCGGTGCCTTGCATGTATATACCCTAACATGCCCTCTCTGCATGACGGCTGTGTATTGTGCCCTGCATCCTGCTATTTTCCACAGTTACTTCTCGCTTCTGGACTCACCGTGACAGCCATGGCCTTAGGCTTATACTATAGCGTCAATCTGTTTTCCATCTTCCATCCAACAATAAACCATACTATGCTCAAATATTCGCCTTAGCTTTTAGGGAGACTGCCATTAATCATTCCATCAAAATAAACTGTTCCGAGGGTACGCACACGCAATGTTGCAGACACATGAATATTTTAGCGCCCATTTTGTTCGTCCCTAGGCCTGACCACGCACCAACTACATTATGAATACAGAGTCACGCCGACTTTGAACTGATCGACCTTTGAACAATGGATTCAAGGTCGATATTACTATACATACTGGTATGCGTGTCGAACATCGGAAGCTTGGAGCATAGAACTGCACTAAAATACTGTCAACAACATTTGATATCTCACTACTTGTAAGTACCAGAATCTGACATCCATCACCCCAACAAATCACAAGGTATCCAGCGCGCAGTCGAGGCCAAGACGGTAAGTTAGATAGATAGATATCAGGGAGGAAGTGTGAAAGAGAACAGCGGCATGAGCAAGTCTATGCATCGATGACAGCAACTAGTACCCTGCCGCATGTTGTCAAAAGTTGGTAGCTGGAGACGCGACTGTGAGAGGGAAGTTTTGAAACTCGCCATTACTAGTACCGCAAACCAAAGGAAATGCTCAAAAGCAGGAGCTAGTAAGTGTCCTATGAATAGGTACAATATCCTATACTGCGGGTCTCAAGTCAGCCTGCTTGAGTCAGTGTATGAGAGATAGAGATGAAAAACAGGTTGACGTGACCCGCTCACAACTTTGAAGCAGACGAAATACGGCATCATATTGTATCCGGATCAAAGTTGTCGCGGATTATGTGAGATGAGAGCTAGACACGAAGTAAGTCTCAACGGACGGTGAAGCAACGCTGAGGTGGACTGCGTACGAGTAAGAGATTAAATACAAAAGGTCGACAAGTCCGAGACGGGGAGAAGCGACCGATACACGAGGATACTAAGAGTTGATAAGGATCAAGAAAGGAAAAAGGAACTCGTAAAGTGTCCCGGAGGTTAATCCTCCGGGACTTGTACCGTGCGGACACACTCTTCTATTCGACTCTCACTTGTCTCCCTAAAGGCAGCCCACACAGGAAGCATCGAACACTATATCCTTCACTAAACTTTTGTACGGCTTCTCAACAAGGTACAGTTCTCGGCGCTTCGTACCAATATGCCCATGTGCACGAAAGAAGGTCGAGAGGTTTGATGAGATTCATGCAACCGGCGATGATGTTGTGACTGCGAATGTGGGTAATGACGGGAGTGGTTCCGGGTGAGTGATATGGTCTCGGAGGGGGGGAGTGTGGTAGCGTAGAATGTGGAGGACGTACGAGAATATCTGGGATGAGGGTCGAGGAGAACCAGCTGTATGTATATGTAAAGCTAGTCAGTATATATAAGCACCAGGCGCAGTGTTGAGGCCTGAGGCCTTTACCTCAGTCCAACTCCCTTGTCTAGATATGGCACGCTTGCGTTCAAGGAAATTCTCGACAATGTTCGCGTCTGAATCCCAAAACACACCGTTGGACAAACTGGGGAACTCATCGACACCCACTGCCAATCCCAGCAGTCGTGTCAGCGATAAATAACAAGGCAATATTGAGAACGAGAACCACGCGGGCCCTACCCAGACTAGTAGCAACACACCTGAGACTCCTCGCGACACACACAGCAGGTGGCTTGCCAGATATCAATGAGGATTCGTTTGCCCTGGAACGACATGGGATGAGCTAAAAGAGGCTACGGAAGACGAGCTATAGGGAGTTTCACGAGTTGGGTGGACGTCTATCGAAACGCTTGGGCTACCTTATCCGTCATAAAAGCATGCAAACACATTACTGACTCCATCTTACCCAATATTGCAACACTGACTATCAAGAATCAAAATCAAAATGCTTACTGTGCTTCCGCATTACGTACATCACTTGGGCCGAGCGCGTCAACATCAAAGCTCAGGTGATCAACGTAGTTGAAACCACGCTGCAGATGCCTACATCACTGAGTCAGCATCTGCGCCCGTCCCTATGAAAAGCTCAACGCACCAATCAACTTCGGAGACACCACAGGGTTGGCTTCCGAGATATAGCCTTGTCCGGGTCCTGCGACTCAATGAAGATAAAAACCAGTTTACAATTCGCAAGGACAGAGACTAGGGATGGATGGAGCACGAGGGATCAAAATTGAGAGGAAATTCAAGTGCGTTCCGTTGATATCTCCTCTGAGCGGACTGAACTATGTTTATATATCAGCATGGGCGCCTATCAGACGACTATTCTCTCGGGTCAAATGTCAGTTCTGTGGAAGAAGTATTGTCTAAACGGAGAAATCCACCTCACGGTGACCGAGACAGTGCCGAACCAGGTGCGTTCATTGACTCGTAAAGTCTTTGTTCATGGAGGCGAGATGCAATATTTCTTCAGTAGACTGACTTACAAGGGCTGCATGTCGTTCCATCTACTGGACTACCACGTGTGGATAGAATAGTCGTTGAGATCACACCTTGGGACCGCTAACACTTTTCAAACACTCCATGTGAAATTTGTAGTGGAGATGGATGAGTGGGAATGTTTTGTGCAGTGAGGGGTGAGTCGCTCAAACGGAGCGTCCTTCTACACTTTGTCTCTTCAAACTCCGACAAGTACTCTCAGTGACCCGTGCGCGTACCATCGAAAACACTGACAAGGCATGCTGTATTCACATGACAATGAAAGCTTGCCTTCGTTTATCGCGTGGCATCAATGAAGGGAGGACATCATACATACCTCCATCGATACACTTCGCATCTCCATCGATAGTACTTGGGATGGCCGCTCTCCGGAACTTTATTCTCATCCTGCGTTGATTCGTGCGATATATAAATATATCACCGGTCACCAGCACCCATAAGTCGTTTTTTTATTGGTCGTCGCAACAGCTCACGTACGAGACATCACGGTACCCTTCAACGTTCCTGCAGAATATCTTCGAATTTCCCCGTTTCCCACATTCTATCAGATACTTCTTTCAAGTGATCGTTTGCTTGCCCTAGGACTGTGATCCATGTCTGTATCTCGTTCGGTGCTTTACTTTGATGGTCGTGCTTAGCGAGGGTTCCAACAGAATATCGCAGTCGATGCCTCATCAGTAGTTTGATAGGTACGCTTG